TGGCTCTGTTGCTGGCCAGCTCAGCCTCTCAGAGTCTCAGTTTCCTCATCTGCAAAATGGGGACAATGGCCAGTACCTCACAAAGTCCCCAGAGAGAGACTGAGGACCATCTGAGAGTGCCATCAGGGCTGAGATGAGAGAGAGAGATGAGGTGAGCGTATGAGAGCACCAAGCTCAGTGCCCACCTGGGAAGGGCTTCCTAATGCATGTGGGCGTCGCCTTGTAGGAGTGGCCACCAGCTGGCCTGGTTGGAATTCTTTCTGCACTTCTTTGAAGTTGTGTGACCTTAGACAAGTGTTTTAACTTTTCTGGGCCCTGACTTCATCGATAAAATGAGATTTTTTGTTTGTTTGTTTTTTGGCCTCATAAGATTGTTGTGAGGGTAATCCTAGACCTAGTATGTACTGAGCACTCAGAAAGAGCTATCTCATTATTATCATAGAGTTGCTAAATTTAGCAAATAAAAATACAGGACTCCCAATTTAGTTTGGAATTGCTGATAAACAGTTTTTTTAGTATAAGCATGTCCCATGTAGGATTTGGGACATTCTTACACTGAAAAGTATTCACAATGAACTGCCATTCAAGATGGTGGCAGGCATCTTGAATTCATCTTGAATTCACATTCTGTTCAAGATGGTAGGTAAACATGGCTCACACAGCCACGTCAAAATTACAACCAAACTACAGAACAAACATTATTCAGACCTGCCAGAAATCGAGCTGATGGAAGTCCTACAACTATGGAATTAAAGAATAAACCACATGGAGATTGGCAGGAGGGGCAGAGATGCGGAATGGGCTGGGTCACTCCCACATGTGGCAGATAAAAATCGGGAGGGATATCTTGGGAGCAAGGAGTCCCAGCCCTGCTCCAGAACCCCAGCCTTGGATTCCAGTGCCAGGAAGATAAGTCCCCATAACTTTTGGCTATAAAAACCAATGGGGATTAAGGCCGTGGAAGACAGAAACTTCTGGAATCCCAGGCAGTTCTTCTTAAAGGGCCTGCACATGGACTTACCTGGACTCACCTCCTCTGAACAGTGCTGGGTCAGTAGTTTGAAAGGTAGCAGAGACATGCAGGGAGGAACTGAAGTGTCTGGCATCAGAGTGAGAGCTGGGGACTGCTTTCTCACAGAGAGAAGCCCTGACAGAGGCCACTGTTCCTTTTCTGAGCCCTCCCCCCACAGAGTGGACAGGCATGCGCCATATCTGAGACTCCATCAACCAGGCTCACACTGTTTGCCCCGCCCTGGTGATCCCCTGAGGCTCCACCCCATCAAATTTTTGGGCCCATCCAAGCTGTTTCCCATGGCTTTTCCACATCAATGACTTGTCTTGGCTCATGCTTTAGATTTTCCTAAATTTTCTCAAACAAGCAGCATCTGGTCTCATTAAGTGGCCCCAGGCCTGGCACTAGCGGCAGCTTGGCCTTGCTTGGGCACCTCCAAGCCCAGAACAAGTAGCAGCCAAGTTCAGATCTCTTTCTAGCTTATGCCAGGTGGCCCCACACAGAACACAGGTGGTAGCTTACCTTGGCCTGCACCTCACAGGAGGTCCCAGAACCTGTGCACCCTGTGGACAGCTACAGACCAGGTCAGAAAACTACCACCCAACCACCTTCACAAGCAACACACTCAAGAGGTGGACTCAGTGGGCACCAGACGCCTGCTGAAGTGAGTCCTGCTCTGTGAAGTGGGCCCCTTCATAACTGATCCTTCATGGTGGTCAAAGGTTGGTGGTCAGTGGTCACAGCCAGTCCTTGAATCTGATCACCCTGGGTAAATCCCTTCCATTGACCTGCCAACAGCAACCAAGTCTCGACTACAAGAGGAGGGTGTACTCAGCCCACATGGTGGGTGCACCTCGAGTACCCAGCTTGGGTGATAGGGGAAGTGGTACCACTGGACCCTACAGGACACCTACTACATTAGGCCACACTACCAAGACAGGGAATCATAGCAGTTCTACCTAATACATAGAAACAAACACAGGGAGGCTGCCAAAATGAGGAGGCAAAGAACATGGCCCAAATGAAAGAACAGATAAAAGCTCCAGAAAAAGAACTAAACAAAATGGAGACAAAAAATCTACTAGATGAGGAGTTCAAAACTGGTTATTACCTCAAACAAGGGTTTAATCTCCAAAATATATCAAGAACTTATACAACTCCACTCTAAGAAGACAAGCAACCCAATTAAAAAATGGGCAAAGGACTTGAATAGACACTTCTCCAAGGAGGACATACAGAGGACCCAGAGACATATGAAAGGATGCTCAGAACACAAGCCATCAGAGAGATGCAAACTAAAACCACAGTGAGATACCACTTCACACCAGTCAGAATGGCCAGCATAAACAGAGCAACAAACAAGTGTTGGAGAGGTTGTGGGGAAAAGGGAACCCTAGTGCACTGTTGGTGGGACTGCAGACTGGTACAACCACTATGGAAAACAATATGGAATTTTCTAAGAAGACTAAAAATGGATCTGCCTTTCGACCCAGCAATTCTACTGCTAGGATTATATCCTAGGAACCTGAAACAAAAGAACCTATGCACTCCAATGTTTATAGCAGCACAGTTTACAATAGCCAAGTGTTAGAAGCAACCTAGGTGCCCATGTGTAAATGAACAGATCCCAAAACTGTGGTACATTTACACAATGAAATTCTATGCAGTAGAAAGAAAGAAGGAGCTCCTTCCCTTTGTGACAGCATGGATGGAACTGGAAAGCATTATGCTAAGCAAAATAAGCCAGGCGGTGAAAGACAAATACCATATGATCTCACCTTTAACAGGAACCTAAATAACAAATCAAACAAACAAATCAAACAAACAAACAAACAAAATGTAACTAAAGACACTGAAATAGAGAACAGGCTGACAGGGACCAGAGGGGAGAGGGGAGGGAATTTCAGGGGAAAAGGGGAAGGGTTTACAGGAACAAGTATAAAGGACACATGGACAAAAACTAGGAGTGGGGTGGAAATGGGAAAGAGGAGGGGAGGGCTGGGGGCAATGGGCTGGGATGGGAGTAAAAGACAAAACTGTACATGAACAACAATTAAAATAAGATTAAAAAAATTGGTTATAAGGATGTTCAAAGAATTTAGGAGGAGAACAGATTAACTCAGAACTTCAACAGCACTAAAAAGAACATAAAAAAGAACTAGTCAGAAATGAAGGACATACTTCCCAAAATGAAGAACGATTTGCAGGCAGGGATGTCCAGCCTTTTGGAGTCTCTGGGCCACAATGAACGAAGAGGAGTTGTCTTGGTCCACAAATTAAATACATTGCAATGTTTAATCACAAAAAAATCTTGTAATGTTTTAAGTAAATTTATGATTTTGTGTTGGGCCACATTTATAGCCATCCCAGGCTGCATGCAGTCTGCGGGCTCTGGGTTGGACATACCTGCTACAGGAATTGACAGTAGAGTGGATAAAGCCAAAAATCTAATCAGTGATTTAGAATATAAAGAAGCAAACAATAACAACAACAACAACAATAATAATAACAAAACCCAATCCAACAAGAAGAAGAAAAAAAATCCAAAAGAGTGAGGATAGTGTAAGAAGTCTCAGGGACAACTTCAAGCATACCAGCCTTTACATCCTGGGGGTTCCAGAAGGAGGGAGAGAAAGCAAGAAATCAGAAACCTATTTATAGAAATAATGACAAAAACTTCCCCAACTTGGCGAAGGAACTAGACATAAAAGTCCAGAAAATGCAGAGAGTCCCAAACAAGATAAACCCAAAGAGGCCCACACCAAGACACATCATAATTAAGATGCCAAATGTTAAAGACAAAGATGGAATCTTAAAAACAGCAAAAGAAAAGCAGTTAGTTACCTACAGGGGAGTTCTCATAAGACTGTCAGCTGATTTATCAAAAGAAACTGCAGGGTAGAAGAAATTGGCAAGGAATATTCAAAGTGATGAAAAGCAGGGACCTACAACCAAGATTACTGTACCCAGCAAAGCTGTCATTTAGAATGCAAGGGCAGATAAAGAGCTTCCCAAACAAGAAAAAGCTAAAGCTAAGTTCATCACCACCAAACTGGTATGATATGAAATGTTAAAGGATCTTCTTTAAGAGGAAGATAAAAAACATGAACAATAAAGTGGCAATAAATACATATCTATCAGTATTTGAATCTAAAAACTAAATGAACAAGCAGAACAACAATGGAATCGTAGATACAGAGAACCCTTTGATGGTTGCCAGATAGGAGGGGACCAGGGGAGTGGGTAAAAAAGTAAAGGGATTAAGAAGTATAAACAGATAGTTACAGAATAGACATGGGGTTGTAAAGTACAGCAAGGGAATGTAGTAGCCAAAGAATATACACGCATATGACTCATGGGCATGGACAACGGTGTGGGCATAGCCTGGGAGAGTGGGGGGTCTGGGTGGAGGTGGGCAAAGGGGGAAAATGGGGACAACTATAATAGCATAAAAATAAAATATAATTTATATTTTAAAAGTATTCATGACATAATTATACTAAAAATGTGTTGTTTATCTGAAATTAAAATTTAACTGGTCACCCTCTTAAGAAGGGACGCAAATTCAGGGTAGTAGGAGGATGGGACTGAGCCTGAAGGTGAGTGGGGGGTGCATCATTTGCATTTCTGACCTCCCTGCAGCCTGAGTTGTTCAGATTCTTGACCTTCTGTCTCACCTTCAGGAAGCTCCCTTGCTCTAACCCACGTGGCCCATTCATTCCGTGGTCCTGCTTTTGTTCAGGCTGCCACCCAGTGTCCTCATAACTCACTCCCGGGCCGGTGCTGCCCTTTGGGTATGCGGAAGCTGTTTCTTGTGTGCAAGCTTGGGTCCCCGAGTGGGCAGCCGCCAGGGCAGGGCCGGGCCGGGCGCCTAGGCCTTCCCCAGGCCGGCCAGGCGGAGGGTGCAGCGTGCACAGGCCCGCAGCTGATGGCTGAGTGGCAGCACTGCTCTTACATAATTGGTTTCTCTCCTCCTTTCTCTTTCCAGAGCCAGATTTCACACTGAGCAGCTGCAGACCGGGAAATCACAGAAAGCACAATCCAGCCTCAGATTCCGAGGGGCCTGCCGGGGACTCTCTCCTCCTGCTCGGGAGGGAAGACCCTGAGGCCGCTGTCCCAGACCAGGTCTCAGCTGCCATGGAGCTCTCAGCTGTCTCCCGTCGGCTGCCCTCCGCACTGCCGGGCAGATAAGGGTGGTGCTGCCCCAGGAGCACCTGCGTCCCCCTGCCAGGCCATCCTCCGTGGCCAGCCCTTCTACTTTAGGCCACCTGTGCTGACCCGGGGCCATGTAGGCTGCACTTGTGCCTCTGTGGATAGACACACCGCTGGGGACACTGCCTCTGCTCTCTGGGGGACCCTGAGCACCACCATGCCCCAGGGATTCGCCTGGCTCCACTGTGAGTACTGGGGGGGTCCGTGGGGACCGCCCTGGGGAGGCCTCGGCCCACAGCCGAGCTCTGCCGTAACCATGGCAACTGGGCCATTCTTGCCGTGAGAAGTTGAGATGCTTCCCAGCTCAGGGCAGGGTCCCTCGGGGACTCCCACGCCTGCCCTCCGCCCTGTCTCCTGCTGACCCAGGTCAGGCAGGTGTGGGGGGTGAGAGTCGTAGGCTAGGTGGGTGCAGTCAGTGGGTGGTCCTGGGGACGGGGCAGGCACTGGGGGTTGGCGGCAGCTCTGCCCTCCCAGACTCACGGGTGCTCTGGAGTGTGGTGAGGCAGGGGGGACAGAGAGAGGGTTTCTGCCTCCCTGGGTGTGGCCGGCAGGCGGTGGGGGCTGTGGAAGTGTCTGGGCCCCCGGAATGCAGGAGACGTGCAGCCAGGTGCACGGGGAAGGCAGCCTGTTTCCTCTGCCCTGTCTTCCGTAAAGAATAAAACCCAAAGGCAGTGAGAGAACAGTTTCCTGGGGAAAAGAAAAATAAGTTGAAATGAGGTCAGAAAAAGAAGGGACCTAGAAGCCTCTCAAGCCTGCTGGTGGGAGGCCAGACCGAGATCCCTTCGAGTCCGAGACCCAGATCCATTGAATCAAATCCAGCACCTGTTCCTGGTGCCTCCCTTGCACCCACTGGGCAGTGACCACCCTGGCGCAAGGGCCTGGATGCCTCGGCCTCATGTTCTAGAGCCTGGCCCAGAGCCAGGCCCCGGGAACTCCGGGATGAATGGGCGAGGTCAGGACTGGGTCCTTGGAGGAATTTGCAGAGGAGTTGGTCCCACCTGGGCTTTGTGGAAGGATCTTGCAAAGGGTCAGAACATTTAGAACAGTGGAAGGACAGAGACCCAGTGTTCTGGAAGTTTCCAGGTCATGAGGAGCAGCATGGGTGAGATGCCACTTGAAGTGGTCTCGAAGGTGGGCAGTGTTCACTCAGGTAGAGAGGTCCTGAGGTGAGGACGGTGTTCCAGGTAGAGGGACCAGCAAGAGGCCAAGCCGGAGAGCTGGTTCCTGTGATAACAGGGGCATCTGGATGTTTCCTGATCTGGTCTGGGGGAGGGGCTGTGACTGAGACAGATTCTGCTTTCAGAAGGTCAGTCCTGTGGTGCGTGCAGGAGAGGTGGTTGCAACCTTCTGGACAGGAGGTAATGAGGGTGAGAGGGCGTGGTGAGGGGGCCGAAGCTCGTGGAGGCGGGCTGCAGGAAGGACGTGGCCAGGATTGCCTGTGGAGTGAGAGACAGCGTGGGCTGCAGACCAGGGGCCTGCGGAGAGGCTGGGGTGCTAGGGAAGGGCTGGCTGCCATAGCAACCTGCCACAAACTTGCAGGCTTCAGACAGCATAAATTCAATCTGTCCCAGCACCGGAGGCCAGGAGTTGAAGCCCAGGTGCTGGTGGGGCCATGGTCCCTCTGAAGGCTCTGGGGGTGGGGGGCTTCCTGCCTCTTTCCACCTCTGGTGGCTCCAGCGATTCTGTGGCTTGTGGCAGCATCACTCCAACCTCTGCCCACGTCCTCAGTGTCTTCATGTGGTCTTCCCCTCCGTTTGTCTCACGTCCTCTCTGATGGGGGTGCCAGTTGTTGGATTTTGCATGGGCCTTCGTTATATCTGCAAAGTTTGTTTTCAAATAAGGCCACATCTGAGGTTCTGGGCAAACAAGAATGTTTTTGAGGGGTGCTATTTACACCCCACACGTGGGGGTGGACAGGCCCCTCTATCCCTACACAAAGAGTGGCCTCTGGGACAGGTGCGGCCCCCCACAGCGAGGAGCCATGGGGGGCTCCTCCCACGTGTCGCCCTTCCTTCAGCCTCCTCCTCGGACTTTCAGGTCTCCTGTCTCAGGAGGGTCAGGGCCGCCCCGGCTGTGGGCTCCAGTGCCGTGGAGTGGTCGTGTGGCTTCAGTGGTGGTGTCCCTGCCTGGCCACCTGCGTGCTGGCCTGTTTCTCAGGGCGGAGGCAATGGAAAAGCAGCTTAAAATTGGAAATAGACAGCAGACTTGGGGGAAGTCTGTCGGAGGAAGGCAGGTCGTCTGTGAACAGGGTACCGGGTACAGCCCACGGATGCCAGGCTTGGTCCCGGCTGTGAGCCCATGCCGGCCCCGAGGGCTCCGGACCAGGACACAGATGCTGGACAGGACTTGGTGGTGGAGGGGGCAGCCCATGGGGACTGCACGTGAGAAAGAGGACCAAGTGTGGATGGAGGCTAATTTTTAACGAAAGATGGCAATTCAGGTTTTTATGTGAAGTCTCTGTGAACCTGACGTGGCCTTTGGGACACAGTTTGCAACTGCTGCTCTAGCTCAGAGGTCCTCAGAGTGTGAGTGGCAGCAGCACCTGGGCCTTCGTTAGAAATGCGTGTTCTCTGGCCCCACCCCTGACCTAAGGGTGCCTTGGAGCGGGGTGCTGCCTGCTCTCCAGGAGATTCAGAGGCTGCTGCTGGAGGTGCAGCCCCGGAAGTGCTCAGTACACGAGCCCCAGGGGTTGGTCACCACATCGTGTGTTCACACACTCGGGGCTGGCGACGATGAGTGAATTGGACAGATGGCGTTAGAGACAGGGCTTGGCAGGGGCTGGCGTCGGCAGGGCAGACCCCTGGGAGGGCAGAGTCTCGGTGGGTGAGACCTCGGAAGAGGCCTGCAGTGTGAGTGGGTGCCCAGGGCAGGGCCAAGTGTGAGCAGAGACTCTCAGGCACAAATGCTCTTGACCTGCAGGGGTGCCAAGCTGAGAGGGTTAATGACTTAAGAGACGAGACAGAAAGCAAGTTGGTTTGGTTGGTGTTTATCTGTTCCTTTGTCCAAATACTGGCATGAGCACTTGGGAAGAGAGTGGGGCAGGGTAGGGATGGGGGGAGTGTAAGATGGGTTGCAAACCTGCAACCTTGCAAAACATGTGGTTGTGAGTTCTGGGAGAGGAAGGTCTGGGGGTCTGCAGCCCTTCTGGGGCACAGGGTTTGAGTAGACCTGAGGGTGCTCCTGGCAGGGGCCCAGGCCTGGCTGAGGGACTGAGAAGGACCCGAGGAAGTGATGGGGAGCAGGCCCAGGTTGCGAGGGTTTCAGAACCAAAGCCTCCTGTGGGCCAGGGAGCGAGTGGGGAAAGTCCGTAATTTCTACCCATACCCGGGGCTGGGTCCAGGAGACAACTCAACCTACCTGGCTGACTTGGGAAAAAGGAAAGAACCCCCAAAATTGCCTTTGATTCTAATAATATTAGATATTGATGGGAGAACAGAAAATATATCCTACAAAATATAAAAACATGAAGATGTCCTGCAGAGATTTGGTAGGGTTCTTCTACCACACTTTTTATGCACACACACACACACACGCACACACACACACACACGGAACGGAATTCTAGTCACACTGGAATCGTACACCCAGATATGCAGTGTTGAGCCAGGCATTTTAAATGAGTTTCCCTAAGTGTATCCTCAGTATTTCCCTTATCACGTAAACATGTCATCAAGTGTTCTTCTTGGGCAGCGTGACTTCCCACTGGCTGCATTCACTGTTACCGACCAGTCAGGCCATTCACAGGTTTTCAGTGTTGGGAAATGGCCTTGTCCATAAATCTTTTGGTCATGTCTCTCTTTTTTGTTTTCCCTCGGGTTTCCCTTTCCTAGAAATGAATTTAATGGGTCAAAGGGTGTGGACATTATTCCACCAATTAAAACAAAAGTTGCCAACTTGCTTTTCAGGAGGAGAGCATCTGCCTCACTACTTTTGCCAGCATAGAATGCAACTAAAATTAAATAAAATTAAGCAAACAAACAAGACCACTTTCCATTTTGATAGATGAAATATGGCACCTGATTGTTATAATGTGAATTGTTTGATCTTTTTTAGTGAGGTTGATTTTGAGGGAGTCGTCTCTTGTCCATTTACAGTTTGTTCTTTCTGCTCTGGTTGACATAACCCTTGTTCATATTTTTTCAAATTCTCTTAGTTTTTTGTCTGTTCAGTTACGGGGAAACCACACAGACTATTTTTGAGATCACAGCGACCTCCAGTGGTAAAGGCTGGTAACGTTCAGAGGGCTACAGCTCTTCCGCTGGCAGGGAGCGGAGTGAGAAACTGCCTGAGCAAAATTTGCTAAGCATCCTAGAACGAACAAACCAGAAAGACTACTACACACTCACTGTTGCGTTAAGTAAAACAGATGCCAAAGTCAGAGAAGGGAAGAAAACTACTCCAGTCACCCAAAAGCCATTTCTAGAGTTGGAACTAGAATCCACAACTTTTGAATCCTGAGATGGAAAATGAAAGCAGCAGGCTTTGAGAACATGTCAACCCTGCAGGAGGGGCTGCGGTGGCCTCAAGGGAGGCAGTGCCTGCCTCCTGCGGTGCAAGTGGGAAGGAGGTGAGATTAACCCTGGGCGGTGGCTGCTGGCGGGGAGTGGACAGGCTGGATGGCTTTGCAGTCCTGGAGCCCAGACCGGAGGAAGCAGCCCCCTGGTGGAAGGCCCCTGGGGGGCTCTAGGCCCTGGCCCCTCCCATCTCTCTCCTGGGGACTGGGGTGGGGACTGGGAACCGTGCAGGTTGCTCAGGTGTTCCTTTTGGGCACGGTCCACAGATCTTGGGATCCTCCTTGGCGTGGCCTTGGGGAACCAGAGTCTGGAGGTGTGGCCGGAGACCCAGAGCAAGGAGTGTGCCTTCACCGGCTTCCTGCGGGAAAAGCTGCAGTACAAGAACCGCCTGCAGTATATGGTAACCACCCTGCACTCTCCGCACCCCCACCCCAGTCCCCTGGGACCTGTGCTTGTTCGGAGGCTCCGTGGCCTCTGGGTCTCCCTTTCTCTGCCAAGCACCCCCTGCGGTCCTGGTCACCGGTCTGCACGCACTGCCCCTTCTCCATTCCGCCAGCTGCCCCTGGGGCCTCCATCCCTCCTCCTAGGGCTGGCCTTCGGTCCCACCTCCTTGTGGCACTCACCCTGTGTTTCAGGAATGGACTCCAGGACAGCTTGGGCGAACTCCAGACACTTACTATTATTAGTGGGGACATAAGGACCTGGAATTGGAACGCAGGTTCTTTTTGTAGGGTGGATGAACCTAGGTGGCGTGGCTGTGTATGTCTTTTCTGAAAACGGCTTTATTGAGATACTCACACACCACACGATTGGCTCATGTAGAGGGGCACGCAGTGGTTTCCAGTGCACTTGCAGAGTCGTGCAGCCGGCACCATTACACGTTTTAGAGGGCTGCTTCCGTCCCCCCCCCCCCCCCCCCCCCCCGCCATGCCCACAGAGCCCATTTCTCCTGGGGTAGTAAGTCCCTCGTACTGTTTCCTGGCTGAAACTTCGGCCTGAACAGCAACGAGGTGTTTTGTTTCATCCTTGCCTGTGCCCTGGAGGAAAGACAATTTTCCTCTCTCTGAAGGGCCACCTCTGCCAGAACAGGGGCTGCCCAGGGCCCCTCCTACAGCAAATCATCTGCGTGCGGGGGTGGGGGCGGGGGCTGGGAGGCCTGCTGGAGTCCTTTCTGACCCTGATCTCATGGTTTGTTCTTCACTGCCCAGAAACACTTCTTCCCCGTCAACTACCAGGTCAGCGTGCCTTACCAGGGGGTGCTCAGAGTGGCCAACGTCACCAGGCTGGTGAGAATCCCCTCCTGGGCTGGGACATCCCCTGTCCCCCAGGACATCTCCGGACCTCTCCCGAGACCCAAGTTGGCTCAGTGGGTCCTGTTGTCAGTGGCTTTTCCGGGCCCCTCAAGTGGGTTCACCCTTGGCCCCAGCCTGAGGCTGTCCTCGGTGCCCGGTGGACACCTGTGGTTGGCTCCCTGTGCAGGGGCCAGTTGGGTGGGCATTAGAGCAGTGTGTGTGTGTGGGGGGAAGGCCAGAGGCCCACATCTAGGGGTTCCACTGTTTCTTCTGTCCCTACAGCAGCGGGCCCAGGTGAGCCAGCAGGAGCTGCGCTACCTGTGGGTCTGGGTGAGTCTCAGTGCCACTGAGGCTGTGCAGAAGGTGCTGCTCGAACACCACCCGTCCTGGAAGTACCTGCAGGATGTACACACACTGCTGGTGAATGTCCAGCAAGGCCTCAGGGTGAGCTGGGCAGAGGTGTGGGCGGGCGGTGTGTGCATGTGCATGGGTGAGCGTGTGGCTGGGGGGTGCCGGCCAAGGGCTGGCACACCTCCAAAGGTCGGGCGTGTCCTGAAGGGTATGGGAGAAATGGGAGAGAGGAGGAGACAGTCAGTGACGACCAGTGGTGGTGGGGGGGGTGTGGCAGGAGATGTGCCTGAGGCCCCGGTCCAGGCTCTGTCTCAGGCGAGTCCATGGTGCCTGTGACTTTGTTTCTGCACCTAAGAAATGAGATTCCTTCAGGGAGGAGGGATGGGAAGGTGGAAGCAGGGAGTGTTCAGAGCGATAAAATGCTTCTGCCTGTGTGTAAAGGTGGCTGCGTGACATCATGCATTTGCCAAAGCCCACAGAACCGTACAACAGAGTAAAACTTAGTGTAAACTATGGACTCAAGTATCACTAGCAATAATAAGCATAATAAAGAGGTTCCTGCTCAGCAGGGCTGGGCTGAGGCCTCTGGGCATGTCCCCCCAAAGCCCGGAGAGTAAGGTGACTGGGTGAGTGTGTGCCGCGCAGGCGATGTGGGGCCGCTCCATGCACCTCCACGCTGCCTTGCTCCCCCCACTACCCCGGCCCTCCTCGGGAATGTGGTGCCCACCCGCTCCCCAGCCACAGCGCCCAGCAGCCAGTGGGAGCTTCTCGTGAGCCCTGGCTTAGGGGCCAGCAACCGCTGCAGCTGCCTGGAGCTCTGTAGGGGCTCTCAAAATTCTGGCAGGAGCTGGCGTCCCAGTGATTTCTTTTTTTCATAACTTCTTAAAAATTTTTTTAAAGATTTTATTTATTTTTAGAGAGAAGGGAAGGGAGAGAGAGAGGGAAAGGAACATCAATGTGTGGTTGCCTCTGGTGTGCCCCCTACTGGGAATCTGGCCCACAACCCAGGCATGTGCCCTGACTGGGCATCGAACCCACGACCCTTTGGGTCTGCAGGCCCGTGCTTAGTCCACTGAGCCACACCAGCCAGGGCCCCACCAGTTTCTTTAGTGGCTCTTTGCCCCTGGGCCGGGGAGTCATTTTTCCAGTGATGAGAAAAGGGAAGATTATGTCTGTATTGTGCTTGTATGAGAGACATTAAGGGGTACCCTCCCCTCACCCCCAGGAAACTTGGCACCTGGAGGAAGAAGGAGAGAAACTGCTCCCGGGCCTCCTGGTCCCAGGAAGTCTTGTCTTCTCTCTGTGGTTTGCACGGCGTCAGGGGCGACAGCCCCCCAGATGCCCTGGCACGCGGCCCTGGCTCCTCACCGGCCTGTGGCCCTCTCGCTTTCCTCCCTTCCAGGACGTGGAGGTCAGCCCCAGGGTGGAAGCCGTGCTGTCCCTCCTGAGCGCCCCGGGGCTGAGCCAGAAGCTGGTGCGGCCCAAAGCCCTGCTGGACAACTGCTTCCGCGTGCTGGACCTGCTGTACTGCTCTTGCTGTGAGGAGCCGGGGCGGGGCCAGGCGGGCCGGGCCGGGGCGGGGCCAGGGCCGGGCGGGGCCGCCGCCCCTGCAGCGGCCGAGCGGGCATCCTGCTGGGCGGCCGTCCGCTCCCTCCCAGGAGCTGAGACGCGCCATGGGCACTGGGACGCGGCGGGTGCCGACTGCTCCTGCGGTTTTCCTTTTCCTTCCCCGCAGGTAAACACAGCTCTGTCCTGAACTGGCGGGACTGCGAGGTGCCGAGCGCGCAGCGCCGCGGCCCAGAGCCCTTGTCGCCGTGTGTGGCCACCTAGCCAGCCCTCCTCCCGCGGCAGCGCCTGCCTCGCTGCCTCACTCCCCGAATCCCCGGCTGGCACAGCCGGCTCACCGAAACTGCCGAGGGCACGGAGACCTCCCGCCCCCAGGCCTGTACGGGCGGTGACTTGGGTGGGGCGCGCCGAGGAGCTCCCAGTTCCACTGGGCCGCGATGTCGCTGGGTGGGGGTGGGGGTGGGGAACCCCCCTTGGGGGAGGAACCCCAGGACAGGTGTCTTTCCTCTGGGGGGAATCTGCTCTCCACCTTCCATACCTCACATGCTCTCACCTGGAGTGGTGAGGGCTTGGGGACACCTGGAGGTGGACAAGACAGAGGCCACGGCCCCTCCGGGCACCGGCCGGGCTGCCTCCCCGACCTGAAGTCCGGTTGGCCGCGGAGGTGAGAGCCTGCCAGGCGGGCAGGTGGGTGTGGAGGGCAGGCGCAGTCGGGCCGGGGAGAAGGCAGAGACAAGCGCCGTATCTTGCCACAGTGGCGTGGGTGCTCTTCCAGTTTATTTTTTCTATTAAACACCCGCTTTATTTCGTTTTGGATTGTTTTGCTTTTCATCGGCAAGTGTGAACCTGGAGGGGCTGGGAGCCCCTCGCCCCCTCTCCGTCCTGCTCCAGCCCACCAGGTGCCACCCGTGGGACAAGGGATGGGCGGGCCGGACCTGGGGCTGAGGGTTCTGACGTGGGATGGACAGAGCCTGGCCAGGGGGCCGGAGTGGTGGGCATTTGAGAGACAGAATTCCTCTATCCCTGCCCTGGCTCGTGAGGTCCCAGGAACAGGGGTGTGGGGATACCCCCCACCCCGACTGCAGTGCCTCCTGGTCTCCCTCCCTCCCTCCCTCTATCCAACTGGCTGCTCCAAGACGGCCGCCAGCGGGGAAGGACCCAAAGCCTTACAGGTGTAGGTCCTGGCACAAGACGCAGCCACTCTCGCCGCCCCTGCTACACGGGGCCCAGGGCCCCAAGGAGCCCCACCCCCAGGCTGGGCTCCAGTGAGAGGGGCCAAGTGCAGGGGGTACTGGGGGGGGCAGCTCAAGTAGCAGAGGGCAGGAAGGCAGGCGGAGGCAAGGGTGTTAATTACAGTACAACTTTATTAATACTGGGGTCTTCACAGTGCATTTGTTACTTGTAGCAGTGACTATTTAAATCAAGGGCAGGGTGGGCTGGAGGGGAAGGAGCGGAGGATAATTTATCCAAAAACCGACAGAGAGAAAAGAAACAAAATGGTTCCATCAGGTGGGGGGATGCGGAGTGGGTGACTGGAGGAGAGGGTGAGCGGGGACGACGAGGGGGGAGGCCTGGGGTGGGGAAATAAATTAACAGAAGGAACAAGTTAACAACAGCACCAGAAAAGTTACTTTAGTCAAAAGACTTTGAAAAGAATATGTCTCTGTACAAAATGAAAAATAAAACAAATGTAAAGAAGTCCCCCAAACCAAAGTCTGTGATGCGGGATGGTTGGCTCGGATCCCGGGGGCCAGGTGCTACGAGGTGGTCACTAAGTGGATGAGAGATGGGCAGGGGATGGAGGGTTATGTACAGCCCTGGGGTGGTTCACAGCGGAAGGGGGTGAGCGAGGAGGGGGTACAACCTCCCTGCACCTGCGAAGCCACCCCTGTGCCCGGGAAGCAAACTCTTCTCTGGGACGCAGGGACCAAGCCGCAACTCCACCCCACTGCGCATGCCCTGCTCACATCACACATCCTGCATCCTACTCCATCGGCCCACCTGGGCAACGCCTGGCGCGGCCCCAAGGGAGGGGCAGTGTAAGCCCCGCCCCGGGACAGCCCACACTGGCCACCTGCTCTATGGCTCCTTCAGGCCCTCCTTTGCCCGGGCCCCTCCAGGTGCCCCATCCTGGGCTCTGGGGCTGACCGGAGCACTCAGCAAGGTTGTCCTCAGACCTAACGACTTACAGGTACCGTTCTCCACCGCCCTGGGGGAGCCCGGGGCTCCGCCCACCCAGGGGCACCCTGGGTTCCCCAGCCCCATCCAGGTCCCAGCTCCCGCACAACAACTGCCAAGACTCGCTGCAGGGAGACTCAGACTAACTGCGCTGCATCCTGACCAGGAAAAGCCTGTTCTCCTGACTCCAGGGGCCCCTGCCCCCCTTTGAGCCCAGCTCTCTGCTGGCCTGTAGTGCCTCAGGAAGCTCTGCTCCGCGGAGGTGAGCCTGCTTTGACCTGCTTGGAGTTGGCACAACTTGGAGCTCAGGGGGGGGGGGGGGGACCTGCAGCCGGCCCTGCCCTGCCCTCACTGTCCTCAGGGGCTAGCGCTGCGGGCGAGAGGCGTCCTGGGATGGCATCTCCTCTGGCAACAGAGAGTCAAAGCCAATCTTCCCGGACTTGCCCTCAGCCTGACCTGGCCAGAAGGCCCCCCACCCCCAACACCCAGATGGGCCGAAAGCCCTTGATTTGGCTTTGCTCCAGAGGCTGGAGAACGGCCGTTCCTCGGCTTTTGGGGAGCCCATTGGTCCTTCTCCCCCTGCCATAAGCCCACAGACCACTATGGGTCCCCCCTTGCGCCGGCTCCTTCAGGCACTCTTGGACACACCCTGTATTGTCCACCCTGTCCCCACGCACAGCCCTGGTCCAGTCAGCTCCATTTTATTATGCTCATACAATAACCCCCACACCCCCTGTGGCTCCAGCCCCCACACCCAAATGTGGCCGAAACTGAGAGCAAAGTGACACCAGAATCAGCCTTGTACCCAAACGAGGACCAGACATCTGAAAGCAGCTCCTGGGGGTCTGGGCCCATGACCCCGGGGCCTCTGGACGCCATCCCTGCTGTCCCACCCTGACCTCCGCCCCAGGCGCACTTCACAGGGCAGGAGAAGCTGCCTTGGAGTCTCCAGCCTCCTCCAGGCAGGCTCCCTGTACTGGGGCCCTAGGCCGCGGGGGTCCCCCCTCCCACCTTCACCTGCCCCCACAACCACCAGTCACTCTGCACACATTGTCAAAATCTGCTACCTTTGCCGACGGGGCACCTGGCCCCTGCCCTCCCTCCTCCCAGCCACCCTGCCTCCCAGATGGAGAGGAGCATGGGTGACGCAGAGACGGGGGTGTGGGGGGGGAGGGACAAAAGGCTCAGTCCCGAAAGGCCCAAGACGCCGCGCCAGCCCCTGGTCACAGCCCGCCGAGTGGGCGGAGCTGCGGGCCCATGCCGGGGGGCGGGGCAGAGAGCCGGTCCCGCCCCTCCGCAGTGGGTGGGGGAGCGGCTAGGGGGCTCACTGAGATGGGGGAAGGCAAGGCCTGCAGGGAGGAAGAGGAGGGACAGAGTATAGGCTAGGAGAGTATAAAAGAGGCTCCAAATCCAGGTCAAGGCCTGCAGGCTCCATTATGGCGAGGTTTGTTAAAGAAGTCACTTCCTGTTTAAATGCTGAAGTCCAAGCTGCGTGTTTCTTTCCATAAAGTGGCTTTGCCTCGTGCGACTTAAAAAAAAAAAAAAAAAAAAAAAAAAAAGCTTGCTTGGCTCTGCCCTCTCCTGGCTGTGCCTTCACTCTGAGTGGCCACTGCTCACCAGCCAGGCTAGCCAGGCTACTTGCCTGGCACTTGGCCAGAAGGTGGGAGGGTGGCGCCATCACAAGATGCGAGGTGCCGACCTGTCGTTGGTGACGGTCCTGCGGAGCCGCACCCCACGCCTGATGGCCACCAGCATGTCTTCAGTTGGGGGGTCGCTGGTGGCTGCTGGGGGTGGGGCGGGCGTCTCCTCGGCAGGAGTGGCCGACAGGGTGGTGGGGAACGGGAACTGGCCTTCGCCCAGGGCGTGAGCTCCTGCCACCAGCTCCCCGAGCTTCTCCACCAGGCTGTGCCGGTTGGCTGCCAGCTGCTGCTGCTCCTCGTCCTCGGCGCCCGGCCCAGGGTAGCCTGCAGGCTCGGGGGCTGGGCTGGCCCAGGCCGTGTTGGGCAGGCTCAGCCTCTTCGGTGAGGCCTTCACCAGGTCCGGCGCCAGGGGCGAGGCAGCCTCGTCGCTGTAGAAGACGCACTCCTCGCTGCCTGCCCGAGTGGGCCCCATGTAGCCGGGAGAGTCTGGCACTGTGGGTGTCTTCACAGGGACGATGGGTGGCCGGATGGGGATGGGGCCAGCGCTGGAGAGGGCGCGGCGCACGGTGGGCTTGGTGGATGGTGTTCGGCGGATGGTGGCCACGCCAGGGGGTGCGCCCGAGGCGGTGGGCAGCCCGGCGGTGGGCAGCCCCGCGGTGGAGGCTGGGCGCTTGGTCTGGATCAGGCGGCGGTAGTTCTGAGCGATGTTGCTATTGCGGGGGATGGTGGATGACTTGTCGAACTCAGGGGGGCCCTCGCCATCCGCGTCCCCGTTCACCGAGTAGCAGTCGTAGTCGGAGCCTGGGGGCATGGGATGCAGTGGGCCGGGGCCTCGGGGCTGCAGGCCCGGGCACCCGCCCCAGCCCCGGGGCCTACCTTGGGAGGGTATCGTGTCCTCGGAGCAGGAGGGCGTGGTGGTCTGCGTGCTGTAGCCGCTGGAGAACTGCAGTGAGTCCCGGCTGCTCTTCTGGTGCTCAAGGCTCAGGCCGCGTGTCAGCACCATGGCCAGGTCGCTGGCTGCGGGCGACACCTCCTCACCGTGCTAGGATGGCGAGACTGCGGGCTGAAGCCTTGCTCCCCAGGGCCAGCCCCCCTCCACCTCCCCGCCCTCGGACTCCAGGGAGCTCCCACCAGGGGCAGAGCTAGACCTGAGGACAAGCGCCTGGCCTCCCGGCACTGACCTGGGAGTGAAGGTGGTGCCCTGGCTGTGCTGCCGCCTACCTTGGCTGCGATCGTGGCCGGGGACATGCGGGGTCGTGCAGTTTCCTCTCCGCTGGGGCCCGGGGTGCCCCCGCTGGCCAGGCCCGGCTCCGTGTCCCGGAGGAGCTCCACACGGTCCTTCCTCCGCTGCAGGGTGGAGGGCTGCTCGTGGGAGCCGGTCTTGGCCCAGTCCTGCAGGGTGGGGCGGGCGGGTCAGGGGCACCCTTGGCCCTGCTGCCCAGACCAAGGGGCCCCTCACTGTGGTCGAGGGTCAGGGGTTCCAGTCCATGTGGGCCCTCAGGCTCACAGTCTTGGCCAAGGACAAAGTGTGGCGGGTGCTGCCAGGCGCAGGCCGACAGGTCCCAGGAGGGAGAGACGTGAGAGTGAGGGGAGTGGCTACAGTAGTGGCCAGGGGACGTTTCCTGCAGGGAGCAGGCTGTGCGCCCCAGCCCTGGTGGGGCCTGGGCCCTCCCTGTGCCCGCAGCAGGTGGGGGGCACTGACCGAGGTGGGAGAGCTGCACTCGCTAACCGACTGGCAGGTTTCCGAGGCCTCGGAGGAGGCAGAGCTGGAGGACTTCTGCGACGCAGAGGTGGGCGGGCAGGCAGGCGGACGGGGCAGGGGGCCGGGAGAGGAGAGAACAGAGCTGGTCACTGGGCCGCATGCGCGGATGGTCCCAGAACAGTGCAGGCCCCGTGCCCCCCACCCCCACCCCAGGGTACGGCCAAGAGCGTCTGCAGCGGAATATAGCTCCGAGTGCGCACTGCCAGCTCCGATGTGCCCTGCGGCTCGGCCCAAGAACCCCACGTTCTGAGAACCAGCGACAGGATTCTGCAGGTGTCCTGGGGGTGGGGAGCTAGAAAAAGTGGCACACGAAGTACAGCAGGGGTGTCCAGCCTGAGCCGGGAGGTTGATGCTGTTGCTGTTTTCTGAGAGGGGCGGGCCTCGGGAAGAGTTCGCTCCTGCACCTGTGAGGCTGCAGCCCATTAGGGGTCTGCACGTGGGTGTTTGTACTAGGCCAGGGTTCGGGGAGGGGGCAGGGCTGGAGCCACAGATCTGGCGGTCACGGGCAGAAATGAAGCCCCCTTCAGGGAGGGCGGTCGGAGAAAAGGTTCGCTGCCCTCAGGGGCATCAATTCAGTGGCTGGGAAGATGAGGAAGGTCCAGCAAAAGGGTGACAAGGCACAGCTGGCAAAGGGGAGGAAACCACGGGCTGGGGAAAGCAGATTCAGTGCAAGCACCTGGCGCCGTGGGGTCAGCCCTGCGGGCGGCCCGGGGAGCTCGGGTGAGGGCGGGGCGGCCCGGGGAGCTCGGGTGAGGGCGGGGCGGCGCTCGAAGCTCAAGAGCTGCTTCAGGAGGACGCAGGGAGCAGAAGTCCGTTTGGGAGGCCCCCCAACTCACAACAGCAGAAAAGGATGAAGAGAAAAAAGCAAGGGCAGAGACAGAACCGGGCCCCCCCAGGACAGATGCCGGCTTCACCCCAGTGGCTGGGAGCTCTGCAGGGACCCCATCAGGCTAGGGAGCCCCAGCCCAGGTCGCCTCAAATTCTCTAAATCAGGGGTGTCACGCTCATCTTCACCGGGGGCCACATCAGCCTCAAGGTTGCCTTCAAGGGGCCCGGTGTAATTTTAGGACTGTATCAGTGTAACTACTCCTCAGCTAGGGGCAAGGAGCTCGGCACTGCTGCCGGGCAGAAACAAGGTGGAGGCCGGATTCGGGCCTCGGGCCTCCTGTTTGTCTCCCGTGGTCTACATCATCGGTAAGTCAAACACCTGAATTTCTTTACAGTTTATGATGAAAAAGTATGTGGAAAACTCAATGGAAAAATTCAACACTTAGAGTCATGGAAAAAACAACCACTTAAATTAGGAATAGAAAGTACCTCTTTAATCTGATAATGAATATTTGTAAAAAATATATTGCTCCTTTTCCAGGTTGAGAGCAAGGGGGAACGGTGGGGGGGGGAGCGGCCCTGCAGACAACTCTTTTGTGAGGTTTTGCTGGGAAGGAGACTCGCTGGCTGGAGGGGAATGTGGGGGAGGGGAGGGCCTTTAAGACGGACACCAGAGGCTGGTAGCAGCTCCCAGCCATGAGCGGCACAGGGAGAGACTGGGTGCGGGGGCACGGCCCTGGGCAGGACAGCAGGCCGTGAACGCTGAGCCCTGACAGGCTGTGACAGGGAGGGCCGAGCACGGGCTCAAACGCAGGTGGGGGTCACTCCTGTCACCTTCAGACGCCTCTGAGCATGTGGCCTGGCCTCCCTTTGTGTTCTGCTGTGGTCCCTGTTTGTCCATCTCCCGGAGGGCCCGCACCAGAGGAGAGTCTGGGCCAGTCTCCGGGTTTAGACTGAGCTGGCCCGCTGCCCACTCTCCACTCCCACGGCCGCTGAAAGAAGGCAGTAGGCAAGGAATAGAGACTTGGGGGGAAGTGAGGCCGCCAAGGCTCCTGCTGACACTGCCACAGCAGTGCGGCCACTCCAGGGCCTCCCCTACCTTTCCTTAGCCTTCAAGCAGTAAACTCAGCTTAGTCCCCAGTGTGGTGGCCCTGGCTACCTCCAGGCCAGTGCCAACAGCTGCAGGTGGCCCCACACAAGAACAGCCTGAGGCGGGCAGGAGGCCACTGCGCCCCGTCCTGGTGGCCCTGCAGTCCCCTCACCTGGCTGGTGATGTCTGCAGGCATGGGCGAGGGAGGCTTGGAGTAGGTGGCGTCCTGAGAGATGAAGCCAGAGTCGTGGGAGGAGATGCTGGAGAGGCGGGCGGTGGCGGAAGCTGGCTGTGCCAGGCTGCGGTGGCGACAGGTGGAACTGGGTGAGTATGTTTGGGCGCCCCCAGGCCACGGGGCTCCGCCACCCTTGGCACTGCCACTGCTGCTGGGGGCGCTGGGGGAATGGACAGGGGGACACGGCAGCCAGACAGAGAGACACAGGGGAGTGTGCGGAAGGGGAGGTGACAGATGAGGGTGGGGAGACAGGTGGGGGGCAAAGGAAGGAAAAGAGAAGGTCAGATGGCAAGGTCTGGAGACTCAAGGCCCCGGTGCCACAGAGGAGCTGGGTTCTGGGGCTGTGGGGCAGAGTGGGGTCCGGGCAGGGGATGGCACCAGAGAGCTGTCCCTGCAGCGAGCCAGCGCCCCAGAGGGTGCACCCAGGAGGGTGGCTCGGCCTCTGCCTCCTGCTCTGCATCAGAACAGCAGACAGCAGGTTGGCAACCGCGACCTGAGTGCCCAGGGGCCAGTTTCCGGGCTGCTTGCAGCCAGACGCAAGTCTGATTATCTAGAGTTTGCATCCCGAAGGTCGGGTACCTGCCACCAAACCCTAACTAGGTGTCTAGCGTGTGGTGACAGCCTCATCCCCTCACCCCCAAGGTGTCCTGCCTGTGTAGCTCACAGCTCATAGGCGATGAAGGTCCCTTCTTCCTGAGTGTGACTCTGAAGCCCCCAGCCCCAGCTCCCGCTCACAGGTGTGCCTGCGATTAACCCTCCCTCTCGTAATGCCACCGCCGGGGGTCCCGTAGGTCTGAGTGCTCCTCTCCCTGCGGCAGTTGCTGTGCCCAGTTTACCTCCTGTGCCCCGGGCACCCAGCCAAGGTCTGGGGAAAGCGGTGCAGGCACAGAGGGGGGCTCCCAGCCTCCCCACCCAAGGAGCCTTGGATCTGTAACATCTTCAAACCCTGCCCTAGCACCAGCTCAGGAAGCACCCTGCCCCTGCCCTGTGATTAAGCCAGGCCCAGGGGGGCAGTCTGGGCTGGGGGCTCGGGCCTGTGGCAGTTGCCCAGGCACCAGCTCTCAGGGACCCGCCAGCTGGGGTGTCTATGAACTGGTAGCCTCAGCACACGTTTTGGAAGCTTCCCCACCTCTCCCAGGTCTTAGATTTGTTCTGTTCCCCAGACCATGCTGGGCTTGGAGGAGCCCAATGGTTACATGCTGGGACTCTGCACCTTAGGTCTGTTTCCCTGTCTATGAAATGACACAACGCCAGACCCAGTACAGTGGTTAGGACGCAGAGAAGAAAACGAATGAAGCGCTGACGACACGGTCAGCGCTCCCTGAAGCGAAGCCGCCCCCGCACAGCCCTGCCCCCAGCAGTCTGGTGCCAAGGCTGGCAGACCCCTGGACAATGTGGGGACCGGGTGGAGCATGGGGCCTAAAGCAGGTCGCCCTGTAGTTTCGTGGGAGCTGCCCCATCCCCTCTCAGTGCATCGCCCCCCCACACCTCCTCAGGCCCCCACTGACCTGCACATGCTGGACTTCCGGGAGCTGGAGCTGCTGGGTGACGAGGGTGGGGTCTGGTAGGACCAGCTGTAGTCCGAGCCCTTCAGGTCCTTGATCACCTGGGCAGGGATGCGCATGGAGGTCACCGGAGGCCGCCAGAGGTGGCCTGGACCCCCAGAGTCTCCTCACTGCCTGGGGCCCCAACTCTTTCCCCAGCTGAGAACCAGGCCCCAGCAGGAGACCTCTGAGTTCAAAGCCCTGCCCGGCTTCATCCTGATGCTGGCTCCTTCCTTGGGGGCAGGAGGCAGGAGGCAGGGCTGCCAGAGCGCTGGGGAGGTGCCTCCAGCCCTGGTTCTCAGGGACGCTGCCACCTGGGCCGGGCGCTCTCAGTTCTCACTCGTGGAGCTGGTTCTGGGATTGGCCTAGGACAGGCTGGGGACACGGGGGAAACTGGCCCACCTGGGGACTCGCTGTTGCTGCAGGGAGCCTGGTGACGGTGGCCGTGAAGGACACCATCAGGCTCAAACCCCGGCTCTGCTGTGCCCCTTGGGCAAGTTCTAGGCCTTTCTGAGCCTCAGTTTTTCCAGTGACGCGGAGCCAATCACCGCTGTCACAGAGGGCCACTGGGGTGATGCAAAGAGACCGTCTGTAGAGAGCGCTCAGCAGTGTGCCGGCCACACGGGCTGTCCTGGGGGCCTGGCCCTGGCGCAGGGGGAGCAAGGCACGGGGAGCAAGGCAGCGGGCACAGGTGGGCAGGCTCAAGGCCAAGCCCCACAAACCCAGAACTTCTGTCCATCTGCCCTCAGTTCGAGGCCCTTACTGGGTCCTGGGGCACATCACCCTCTATCACCTGGGCAGGTGCTCCTGGGTGCCCCTCATTGGGTGTCAGGACACACCTGGTCCTTTATCCCCAGCTGCCTGGCTCCCCCAAATGCTGTCCCCCTTTCTCCTCTACTGTCCCCAACCAAGGGCAGGCCATCCCTGCTTGTCTGTGCCCAGGGCTGGCCGTACCTGCTCGCTGGCGGGGGGCAGCTTGTGGGGCTCTGCGGTCAGCACCACCAGGTCGTCGATGATGCCCTGCAGGTGGGTGATCTCTCCCAGCATGGTCAGCTCGCCGTTCTGAGGGAGCAGTGAGTCAGAGCCATGGGCCTGGCCCACCTGCCCACCCTGCCTGCGCTGCTAGGGCTCAGGGAGGCCGGGTGTGACCGCCCGTCCTGGAGACGAGCTGCGAGGCAGGCCTTTGGGTGGGGCCCTCAGCACAGAACGCACCCAGCCTGCTGGGACCAAGTCACCAAAAGGAACTCAGGCCCGGCAGTTGCCAAATTCCGATTCTTGCTATGTGGCGATAGCCCAAGGGCGGGGCCCTGTGAATGCCACTCTGTCCCCGAGGGACCCACCACCACAGGCTGCAGGAAGGTGATGAAGGTGCAGAAGCGGCCGCGCTCCTCGATCAGGGCCCGGCGCACCGCCTGCTTCTCGGTCTCCTCCAGCAGCAGGTACATGTCGTTGACGTCCTGGAGGGCGCTGTCCAGCTGGGGCTGCAGGTCTCCTTTCCCTGCAGGGGTTGGGAGGAGAGGCTGTGCTGGGGACCCCGGCCTGGCTCGCCGCACCCATGGCTCGGGCCCCGTGGTGGTGTCCCTGGTGGTGGGGCTGGGCTCTGCCATGGGCGCTAGGGGACCCAGGAGGGCAGGCAGGACTCCGGGGCTCATGGAAGGGCTGGTCCCCAGAGCAAGCAAAGAGGACAGACAGACACGCACACAGGAAAGACACCAAAGCTGCAAAGCCACCTAGGACCTGGGGTGGGCAGAGCCCTGGGCAGCCCCTGGGCCACCTTTAGAGCAGCTGTGCTCAGGGGGGACCATGGAGACCCCCATCCCCCACCCTTGCTTCCCACAGGAGGCACCCCTGCGCCTCCCAGCACACAGCAGGGTGGGGTACAAACAGGACGGAGTGGAGTGTGGGGCTCAGCTGTCCTCCAGACCTCGGTCAGGAGAGCTGGGGCAGGGTGCTGGACGGGGGTGTCCCGGCGTGGCCCCCACTCAGCTCGGGGAGCAATGCACAGGACAGCAGCAGCGACACCAAGAAGCAGTGAGAGAGAGAGAGGCGAGAGGATGGTGTAGAGGAGCGGTGGGACAGGAAGCGAGCAGGTGACAGGTAAAGACTCTGGGTGGTGGGACGGGGGGCAGGGCAGCCAAGGCCTGCGCCCCCCACCCAGCCTGGTTCAACCCCTCTCGGCCTGGCAGACTGACCCGGCAGTGGCCCCCAGGCCCGAGAGGGACTGTGCCCCAGGCCCCTCCCTTGCTGGACCTTCCTCGCTCCTCCATCGCTTGGAGCGGCTCCTTCCAATGCCCCTGAGGTGGGGGAGACAGACAGATGCAACACGGACGGGAGGAGCAGGTGGAGAGACGGACATGTGACTTACCAAGTAGCTCTACAGGAAGGATGTGGAGGAGGGAGGAGGGGAGACAGAAAGAAAGAGTGTGTGAAAGACAGCCGTGTGGACAGGGCTGCTCCTGGGGAGGGGGCCGGGCCTGTGGGGCCTCCTGCCGCTCCTGGGGAGGGGGCGCTGGGCCAGGTCTGGGGTGCAGGGAGGATCCCTCTGCCCCCCCAGCAGGTTGGAGGGTCCTGTGCCCGAGACAGGGCTCCTCTGCCCAGGACGACGCCCCGGGGTGTCCCAGAGGGAGGTGGGGTAGAGGGGGCGGGGCCCCGTGGGGCTGTGCCTCGGCGGGCACCTCTGGGTGCTACCTTTGCGCGCTTTCTTCTGCAGCTTCAGTGTGTCTGAAGACTTCTTTTTGATCTCATGCCGGGCGCGTTTGTACTCTGTGCAGGGGGCGAGACAGGAGCGCTCTGTTGGTGGGGGGGCGTCTGCTGTGTGGGGGTGGAAACCCAAGCTGAAGCCCCAGCCTCACCCTTCGCGTGGTCCTTGTCCAGCTGGTTGACTGACTTCTTCCAGTCCTCGATGCGCTCCTGCAGTGGGTTGATGAGGCTCTCCAGCAGGGCACTGTGGACATGAGTGTGCAGGTCAGGGCCGGCGGAAGGATATCCCTGTGACAACCCGGCCCGCCCGTGGTGCCCACTCACTTGGTGAACTGCCGCAGCTTGGTCTCGATGCTGCGATGGCGCATGCACATACGCGTGAGTGCGGAGCCGATGTCCCGTGTGGCCCCTGGTGAGGCAAGCACATGGCATGGGAAGGGGTCTGCAGGGGCCTCTGCAGTTCCGGCTTCGACCACGAGAGGGCGCGCTGGCCTGAGAAGACCAGGCCGCAGCCTGTGCCCTGTCCCCTGCATCTCGCAATCCTGCCAGACCCTGCGGGGGATTTGATCATTCCGTCATAGTTCCCGAGCCCCTCCCTCGTGCAGGACCAAGGCCCTGCCCATGCCAGACATGCCAGCCTCCTGTAGCTGCGAGTGCTCTGGTGGTCAGGTCAGGGGCCCTTCACTCAGCTGGGAGAGGCCAGAACCAAAGATCGGCTTAAAGAGCCAGCCCAAACACCCTGCAGCCCTGTGGGGAGCGCCCTCCAGGTGTTCCTAGATGCAGGCCCGAGAGTACCAGCATGCGCCCAGCGCCTTGGTTCTCAACACCTGAAGGAACAGGAGCCCCAGGTCCCTGCTACTCAGACCAGAAAGCAAGGGAGATACCAGGGCCAGTGGGAAAGGCTCACCTGCCCCAGTGTGCTCTCAGAAGGGCAGATGGGGTGGGTGAGAAGCCATAATCAGACTCACTGTACAGAGGTGAAAACTGTGACTGAGGGGTCAAACGAGCACCCCATAGCAAGAATGAAAGCCCCTGTACATCCCTGTCACCTTTCACCCACTCCTGCTTGCATGCCTCTAGTGACAAGAGGCTCACTATCTATACAACCAGCCCCTTTCATTAGGGAGCAGAACTCAAGATCCCGACTCTGGGCCTGGTGTCCTTTCCTGGCTCATACCCCACTCAGCCTTTCCACCTTCCAAGCCTAACCTGGGGCCTCCCCAGCCTCCAGCCGCGCCCCCTCCCCACCTCGGGTGTTGGTAGCCATGTCAGCCACTTTCTGGAAGGCGTCCAAGAAGGCCACAGCAGCCAGCACAGTGGTCCTGGGAGGACAGACAGTGAGATGGTCTCTGGTGAGGTATCCTCACCGCCCTGCCCCTATCTGCTCCCCACTTGGGGGCGCCCTCAGCAGCCTCACCTCAGCTGGGAATGCAGCTTCGTGGCCTTGGAGTTGAAGTCTTCCCAGATGGGGTAGGAGCTCTGCCAAGGACATGGGAGAAGCAGTGAAAGTCCACGGGGCTGAGGGCTCTGCGGGGCTGGCTCCGAACAGGCCTCTGTCCAACTCCAGGCCGCTTCTGAGAGCAGCCCCGCCCCATGGAGAAGGAGGCTCCGGGGACTTCTGAGTAGGGAGAGGGCCCCGGCCAGAGCCACAGGGCATGAGGAAATCCTGGCTGTTGGGAACAGACGCCCGCGCTCATCCCTCTTCCCGACAGGAAGTTGGGCCTCCTGTCTTCAGTCAAATCCTCCCTCAAGGGAGATGGGAACAGTGAAAATGGCAGGTCCTGTGTCCTCAGGGCTCCCCAGGGGCCTGGCAGGGGATTTGGGCTGAGCTGCGAGAGGGGCACCATGTTCCCCCCGGAAATGGCCCAGGCCACTTCCCACTTGGCCCAGGGGCAGAGGCACCGAGCACAGCGACAGGGCTCAAGGCACTAGCGGCCCCCTCTCTGCCCTGGAAGCTGCTGCCAGCCCAGCCAGCCAGCCAGCCGTGCCCGGCCAGCAGCAGTGGCTCCCAGGCCCAGGGAGGGTGTGACTGCCGCAGGGCCGGGCCAGCCTGCTGGGGACAGCCAGGCCCTGGGCTGAATGGGGCCTTGTACAGCCAACAGAGCCACCTTTCTCCACCCCAGCTCCCTTCCTCTCCTGGGGACACAGTGTGGCCTTTATCCCAGCCTGGCCCAAAGCTCTGAGATGGGAGGGGGTTTCCCAGCAGGGAGGCCGGGCTCCTGGCCACCGAGTTGTCCAGTCTAACCAAGCGGCTTTTCTGGCTAACGTGCCTTCCCGTGGCTGCTGGGTCCTGGAGGAACCTCAGCCCTGGCCCCAGGGCTTGTGGAGGCCTCAGCCCTCAAAGAGCGCCCCGGGCCAGCAAAGCCCCAGTCCCAAGGGGCTAATCCCAAGGAAAACGGGAAGAAGGAGATGCCTGCCCCCCAGGTGTCAGAGGGAGGCTCTGCAGCCCAGAACCCCTGGGCAGGTTTCAATGGCCTCTTCAGCCAAGGAGAGCCTACAGGGGTGGAAAGGAGACAGAGCAGCTTCTGGGAGCCGCCGAAACTCCCTCCCCTCCCAGCCCAGCCCAACCAATGCCCAGGGAAAGCAAATATTTGAGAAGTTCACACAGGCTGGAGCAGGAGGGGTTGCTGTGGGTGGGCTGTCTCCATGTGGGCACAGCTCACACAGCAGAAGGGCCTGGGAGCCACCCCCAGCAGGCCTGGGGAGTGGACCCCACCTGGGCGTCCCCCGGGGTCTTCTGAAAGGTGGCGCCCCCCCCACCTCGACCCCTCCAACCCCAAATGAAGCTCTGCTGAGACCTCAAGAGAGGAGAGATGATGTTGGGGGTTCAGGGGTCCAGTGGTGCCATCCTGGCTCCCAGGAAGTCTCCCCTGGCCCTGCAGCGGCCTCTGTACGGTCCGAGGGAACAAGGGACTAGGTGACACTGGGCAGAGAACAGTCCCTGCTCATCCCGCCAGCTGTGACATCCCCAGGCTCACTCCATCTAGGACCTTCATAGCCTTGCTGTCTCATGGGGGGGGGACAAGATGGGGCATGGGAAGGCCAGGCCAGTTCGTCTTCAGCAGGTGGACTGAGACCTTTGGTGTCTAAGGACCGGGGACTCCATCCCACTGGCAATTCATAAAGGACCCCGGAGATGGGAGTTTGAGGGGCTGGAGCAGTCTCCGCCCCAGAGAGTATCCTCAGTCTCCCCCCAGGCCCGTGACTGGCTGCCAGGCTCCAAGACCTTGGGTGGTTCTCAGCAGGGACGGTGATGGCTGCTGGCGACCTCGGGCTTGCAGTGGGCCTGGCGCTGTGCTGAGCCCTGGCCCTGTGTGATCGCATTGAAACCTCCCAACAGCTCTGTGCGATGAAGACTTATCACCCCTTCTACTGACGGGGAGGCTCAGGGAGTAGGGTCAGACTTGCCCAAGGCCGCCGGGCGGCAGAGTCAGGCCAGATCCCCGTCTGACTGGCCACTGCAGCCAGGGCAGAGGCTGTGGGGAGGTGAGGACCCGGCATCAAGGAGCGGGGGTGGCGGGGACTGCAGGCAGAGGAGGGACAGCAGCTCTGCGCCCAGCGCAGTGGTCGCAGGCCACTCTTGAAGGGGAGGTGATATGCTTGTCACTGGAGGTGTCCAAGTAGTTGGGATGAGACCAATGAGGAGGCCGCTGGGGCCCCTGGCCCTCGGGGACTCTATCTGGGTGGTGCCCCGGCCCTAATGTTGGCTGTGTGGGTGAGTGAGCCAGGCCCAGTCCCGGGACCCCTCGCTGGGCCTCAGGCTCCTCCCCTGAAAGATCAGGATGGGAACCGTACCTCCTGCAGAGGTCAGTTCAGAGACTCAAGCAGGCATTGCCTGGAAAGCACTTAGCACTGTGCCAGTAGCTAGTAGGTGCTCAGTGAACGCGGGCTAGTGGAAGACATGGGATCCCTGCCTCCCCGCCAGGGACTCTGTGTCTGGGTGACACCCTCACTCTTGAGAGAGTAGGCAAAATTTCTGACCCGACTTTCTGAACAGAACAGCGCTGGGTAGAGGCCCCATGCACTCTGCTGGAGGTGCTGCCTGGCAGCTGGGGCCACCGCAGGGCCCGGTGCTGTCACCTCGGGCAGGGCCTGTCCCTCTCTGGGCCTCATCGGGGAGCCTGGCACCTAGTAAATGCCTAAGCTGAGTTCAGTAAGGCACAGAAGGCAGGGAAAGCTCCTGAGAGCCCTCTCCCCACCCCTGAGTGGGTGCCCTCCTCCAGGACGTAGGTACAGCTTGGAGATCCCTCCCTGCTGCCCCCAAGCCAGGGTCTGCGCCTTGAGAAGGGCCAGGCTGGGCCGTTGTGGGGCCTCGGACATGATTTGGAGAGGCCTCACGGGGCAGGCTCATTCTCTTGATTGGCCAGCTCTGTGGGAGAGAGCCAGATGCTGCCCCTAAAGCCAGGTGATGGGCCTCCAGGTGGCCCAGTCTTCTGCTCTGTCCCTGGCTGGAACCCATGCATGTGTCATAGGTAGGGGAATATCTGTCCTTGGCATCACCCCAGGTGAAATCGCTCCCATTTTGCCTCCACAAGTCAGAAAATCCTGCCCAAATCTCTTGCTACAATCTGATCTGGGCCCGCTTCCTTCTGTCTCATCCTGAAGTTCCTTGCAATGTGTTGGAGAGGGAGGAAGGCAGTCCTATCCCTCTTCTCTGAGCAAACTGGTGCTCTCCGCAGTGTTTGAGGAGAGGCTGCCAGCAGGAGGAGGGTGCCGGCCCTGGGGCTGGGTGGCTGAGGGAGGGTGGTTTGCGCTGCCTCATCCCAGGAGGGTATCCTGGGGCCAGGGATGTGATGTCCACAGGGCCGGCGGGGCTGCTGAGGGCCGAGAGGCCAGCACTTCTTCGGGTTAGCAGAAGGGCCCAGAGGGGGACTTGAAAGGGATGAAGGTCTTAGGGGAAGCACCCCCTATGGAGATGGGGGGCACCTGTACGATGCTTACCCATAGTCCCAGGCCAGGGGGGCTTCAGGCCTCTTCTAGGGAACAGGTATCTGGCAGCTGACCCTGGGGCTGTTCCCTGGCAGAACTGGGAGCCCCCGGTGTGCTTGCAGCCACCCACCCCGTGGAGGAAGGGCCTGCCTGGGCTCTGTGGGGCAGGGTGCACCTCGGGGAGCAGTGTCTCCTCCCAGCCTGCAATGTCCCAGCGGGATTGTGTGCTGTGCACTGGGACGTGTGTGACAGGCTGGGAGGGTGGTGGCTCTCAGGAGTTCCCATGGGGCACCTAAATCTCTTGCTTGCTCTTCCTCTACTCCAAAAGAGAAGGGTAGGAACGCAGGTTCCTGACCCCCCTTCTGTCACTGAAGCTGGACGTCCTTTCTGCCTTGCCAGCTGGAGCCAGCCCTGCCAAGCCCTGGCTTCTCTGAGGGGAGGATGCCCCTGGCCTGCTAGATCAACCATGGGGGTGAGGTGAGGGACAGCTTCCAACAGTCTCCTAAGTGACCTTGAGCCATTCCCAGGCCTCAGTTTCCCCACCTGGTGAGCCAGTTTTGGGCCAGGAATGGGTGGTCTGCTCCAGCCTGACCTCGGGCAACCATGGGGAGGGGCTGGAGATGGGGCCCGGGGTGGAAGTAGGCTAGGGAAGGCCCTCCCTTTGGGGTTGCTCTACCAATCCCAACCTTCTCCGCTCCTCCTCCCAAGGTAAGGACAGCGGCCTTGGGACGCAGGGACACTCAGCCTGGAGACCTCGGAGTTCTGGGGCTTCCTGGGGCTTGTGGTGTGTGTGACAGCGGGGGAGGGTCGGGGGCGGCAGTTGCAGGGTCCGGCGCAGTGGCCGGGTCCCGCGCAATGGCCAAGGCTGGTGGGGAAGGAGTTAATGGTTCTCCGCTTTATTATTTTTCTCCACTTTGGTGATGACAGCATTGTCTGGGCACCAAGGCCAGCCTTGGGGTGTGGGGGAAGCCATGGTGGTGGTAGGGGGCGGAGGCCAGAGAGACCCCTGACCTGTTAAAGGTCCACAGAGTCACCCCAGGAGCCAGACCCCATTCATGGTGTGAGGGTCGCGGGCACTGGGAAGCCCAGGGGTGCGCAGGCTCCGCTCGCGAACCCACGGGGGCGCTGCGATCTGGGCGACCCCGGGGACCGCGTGGACACCCTGACAAACGAGCACCCACACTCCCACATAGGCGCCCGGAGACCCCGGCGCACAGCAGACGCAGGTCCATCACGCTCAGACAAGGACACACAGACCCCGCGGTGCACAGACACAGCGGGCACCGCTGCCCGCCGCCACGCGCCCCCAAGGGGATCCGCAATCGCGCTCCCGCACCCTGTTACCTTCATATCGTTGACGATGGCTTGGAAGAGCCCGCCCAGGGCGCCGCACTCCTTCTCCGCCGTCTCCATGCTCTGGGCGGGCGGCGGCAGGGTGCAGGCGGGGCGCAGGGAGCCGGCCCGGGGAGCCGGGCCGCGGCGGGTGCTGGCTCCGGGGCCCGGCGGGGCCTGCCGCCTCGGGGCCGCTCTCAGCGGCCGGCTGCGCCGCGCTCCGGGGTCTCGGGCCGCCGCGGGGCGGCGCAGGCCATGTCGCGGCGGGGCTGGCGGCGGCGCGGGGGGCGCGGCGCGGGCAGCTGGCGGCGCAGCCTCGGCGCGGGGACTGAGGCGGCGGTAACCGGAGCCGCCGAGGCGCGGGCGTCACGTGGGCGCGGCGAGGGGGACCGCGGGGGGAGGGGGTTGAGGCGGGAGGGGCTGTGGGAACCGCCGGGCGGGCGCAGGCCCATTCGCCGCCAGGCTCCAGAGCTTTGAAATCCGAACCCAGCGCGGCCAGACTGGTCCGGCGAGCGGGGCCGGCGGCGCGGGCGCCACTGCGGGTCGGGGCGGCGCTGGGGCGGGGCCGGACGGCTACCCCGCGGGGCTGAGACCCGCCCCCAAGTAGGGGCTCACCACTGCCTTTCAGCCTGTGGTCTCTGGCCCGGGCTTCGCGCGCTTTCTGCAGCCCCGCGAGGACTGGGGGGGTGGCTGGCAACATCCCGTGGGATGCCCGCACCACACCTAGCAGGGCACAAGGTGTCCTGAGGGCGGCCCGCCGTGGGGCCTTTCAGCCAGGCACAGAAGAGTGCAGATCTTCCTCCAGAAGTTCTTTGGCTCCTTTTCCAAGGGGTGCCTGAGGCCAGGCTTTTGGGGGTAGTAGTTTCCCACCCCTCTGGCAAACTCCTTTCTTGCGGTGGGGACCGTTTGAGATCTGCAGGGTGAGAGTGGGCCATGTCCCACTATGTGTGTGGGGATGAACATGCATGCACATGGGCCAGAGCTGGTACAGTGGCTCCAGGAGACTCTGGCAGTGAAACCCACCCTCCCGGAGACGATGGGACTGAGGAAAAGCTCCTTCTCTCCGGCTTCAGGGACCCTGACAGCCATTTGGGAACTGTTAGACCAATCTGCGGCTCCCCAAAGTTGGGGGTGGGGGGAACCCAGGCCTACAGGGGCAGTGAGGTGAGGCTCATTTAGCCAAATCAAGAGGTGGGCGGGCACCTGGGAAGCCCCCCCCCTCCTTGCACTGGTCTGGGCCTTGCTTGGATCCCCAGTGTCTGTAGAGCTCAGTGGGGAGCAAGGCCCTCTCACTCAGAAACTTCTGAGGTGAGCTCAGTTCATCTGTCCTGTGGGGACATGTCTCGTCGTCTCTGGGGGAATCAGGCTGGAAAAGTCAGCTTAGGTGCCTGGGAGGGCTTCAGGGTTCCGGGGAGGCCAGTGCCTAGTACTCTCAAGGAAGAAGGGGCAGGTCCCAGGGGTGAGAGCTGGGTCCCCCAGAGCCCCAGGTTTCCAGGATAGGTGGTAAGGTCCTCGGGACACTGTGGCACCAGGCAGGGGCAGATGCCAGTGGGAAGGAGCAGGCAGGTGCAGGTCGAGGGTTTTCCATCATTTATTGGGGCAGGGGGTGCATCATTCCCATGGACCTCTGCACCGGCCCCCGCGTGTGGACAAGTCTGTATAGACATCGCAGGAGGCCAGAGCTCTGGTGGGCTGGGGAGGTCACACTCTTTCACAAAAGGGTATTTGAAAGCATCCTATTCCGGAGGAGAGGTGGCATCTGAGGCTGTGGCCCCACCCTGGGGCCAGCTTTATCAGAATGCTGGATGGCTCTGGGGCCCAGGGCGCTGGGCTGTGAGGAGTTTGGGTGGACAGAACAGCCTCCACTGCCCCCCCCAGCCCCAGGCTGGTGGCAGGGCCAGCCGCGCCTGAGGCAGGTCCTTGGGCTCTGTGGGGAGGGGGCCTGGAGATCCCGTGTGCTCCATGGGACCGACCGCTCCTTGGGCCCTTCTCCACACCAGGCCTGTCAGAGGACAGCTCTCCGGTCCAGGTGGTCCCCACGCCCACTTCGCTGGTGCCTCACTTCCAGGTGCTTCTTCTGGACCTTCTCAAAGTGCTGCAGCAGCTCGGCATAGTCAATGCTGGGGGAGTCCGCTGCCTGTGACTTGGGGGCTGCCTTCAGACTGTCTCTGGGAAAGGGCGCAGAAAAGCTCAGCGTCAACATCTCCACACACACGGGGGCTGGTGGGGTGTAACCTTGGGGAGTCTGTCTGCCTCAGGCCTAGCACCCCCTCAGTGCTGAGAAGCCCCATGAGCACCCCCTCCCCTGCAGCTGGGGAGACCTGTCAGTACTGCTGCTTGGATATGGCCTTCAGCCTGCGGGCTGGCAGCAGCGCCCAGGGCAGGCATCGCATCGGGAAGCATTTCCTGTTTACGAGTGGCTCCCTTTGGGGTGAAAGCCAGGGCTAACAGCCAGCCAGGAAGCCAGCTGGGGCCTGGAACAGGGTCCGGGGATGGGGGAAGGGGGCAGCCTGGTCCTTTCTCTGAGGCAGGGCGAGGGACAACAGGGAAGGCTGAAGAATCTCTACTGGGCTCTTGGCAGGACATCTGTTTTTGAGGGTGGGGGCCCAGAAGCCTGCAGGCACTCCCTGTGCCGGGGAAGGGAAGCTGGTCTCAGCCACCGCGGGGCACGCCGATGGCTCCCACAACGGCGCCTGCCGCTGCCCCTCCCCCAGTGCTCTGTACGGCAGCCCAGGTTGTGCGCTGCAGTGATCGTGCGCCTGCTGCAAACCCAGGGTTTCACTTGCCCTTGGGGACCAGGTCCCCTCGGGCTCCTGTCCCCATTCCTAACCGTACCTCCAGCAGGGAGTCTCGGGACAGACTGTGCTCCCCCAGCACGTTAACTTTGGGGGAAATGTGAAGGTACTTCACCCAAGTGGAACCCTTGCCAGTGAGCCTGGCCCTCAGTAAGGTACAGGCGACCGATGGGCTGAGCCTGACAGGCATCGCTGACCATCACCGGGCTACTGGGGTAGGACGGGGCAGCTCCCCTTCCCATGGCGGGATGACATCTGGAGCCCAGCTGGAGGTGGCCCCTTGCATCCCCTCCTCAGCCTGTTCCCTTCCTGCCTGTTGAAGACGCTTTGCCTGCAATACCTTGGTGGCTGTGGCTGCTGCTTTCCTGAGCCTTAAGCCCAGTCTCCCTCGCTCAGGCAATATTAGTTCAACAAAGACCAAGAGCCCTGGCTGGTGTAGCTCAGTGGATTGAGCGAGGGCTCGAGAACCACATGATCGTGGTTCGAGTCCCAGTCAGGGCACATGCCTGGGTCGCAGGCCAGTTCCCAGCAGGGGACTCATGAGAGGCAACCATACATTGATATTTCTCTCCCTCTCTCCTTCCCTTCCCCTCTAAAGATAAAGAAATAAAATCTAAAACACACACAAACAAAAAACAAAGACCAAAAAGAAGGGCCCGCTCTACGAGCGCCAGGTTTCAGGCAGCACTCTGGAAAGCGGCTGCTTTCAACTCCCCTGGGTGGGAGCAGGCTGGGGGGTAACCTGCAGTTGGGACCGCTGTGTGACGTCGCTGCACACTGCCCCAACCCAGGCCTGAAATGTGAGGCCACAGAGATGACACTGAGGTATGTCGTTCGAGGCTGGGTGTCCACGGGTCTGCATGCTGCCCCCTCAACACCCCTGGCAAGCCAGGGCACTAGGTCCTGAGGAGGCATGAATGGTGACATGCAAGGACGTGCCAGGGTAGGGGGGAAGGTCCTCGTGCTGAATTAGTCTTGTCCCTCATGACTTAGCCTCCCTGTGGGCAGACCCTGCCTGGCCCGAGGTCTTGGGAGCAGGGAGGGGTGTGGCCCATGGGGTCGGGGGCTGGTTTCTGCAGAGCATGGAGCCCAGGGATCCTCTCCCTGCCGGCCACTGAGGGCACAGCCCGCCCTGTTCTGTTCCAGTCCCAACCCTCAGGCAGTGAGGGGCTGCAGGACACTCAGGGGCGGTGCCTGGAGCTGGGACTCCAGAACTGGAGCCGGTCCTCTCTCCTGCCATCCCACCCACGCACCTGTCACCAGGCTACTGCTGCTGAGCATCATCAGCTTTTCCTTCAGAGCGTCTCTCTGGCCTCATTGAGAAGATGGTCCTTGGGGAGCAGCCCAGGGTCCCCTGGCCCTGCTGGTGCCTTGAGCACACAGCATGAGGCGGGGTGAGGACCGCAGAGGTTCCCTCAGCTGTCCTTGCCTGCAGGCCTGTCATGCAACCTGACGCTGGCTTCCAGCTGCCTGTCCCTCCCAGGGCTGAGATTGTCCTCAGCCCTCTCTAGGGTGTGAGCTGTCCCTCTGTGCCCAGCCCCCAAACCTGACCCCTCCTCCACCTGTTCCGGAGGCCCTTCCTCACCCACCATTCCGCCTGCATCTCTGGCAGCCCCCTAGGTCCTTGCTAAGAATGGCTGGGAGCCCAGAGCCCTGAAGACTGGGCAGAACCTCGTGCAACCCTTTAGTCCAGATGCTCATTCACCAATGAAGCACCCAGCGGAAGTGTAGGAGCTGGCCTGAGGTCCCAGGGCCTAGGCCAGACCCTAACCCAGGCCTGTGGACTGTCCCCTGACCTGCAGGCTCCTCCATGCAGAGGCCTCAGCCCCCTGTCCAGAGACTTCCAGAGACTTCGGGGCCATGGAGCTCCTGCAGGAATGGTCATCTCCCCAGCCTCCCTCTGCAAACTCGCTCTGCCCTGGCTTGGGGTATGCAGTAGGTTCTGACTACTCTGAGATATGAGGGGATATAGTGGGCAGAGCTGGGGGAAAGGACTTGCCCTTAGCAGCAGGGGGTCCATGGCCTGGCCCAGAGGTCTCCCCGAGGAAGGCAGGCTGGTTCCTGAAATGGGGGACACCAGCGTTTCCAGGGAAGTAGCCCTTCCTATCTCCTCCTCCCCTCCCACCACACCTTCCTTCCTGAGTGCCCGCCTCAGCAGCCTGAACACCTGTCAGGGACTGGAAAGGCCCGTGCAGAGGTGAGACCAGCGAAGCCCAGTGCGGCTTCAGGGCCTCTCTCCCCAAACACAAACCCACCTCCATGCTGTGCCCTGATCCCCTGGGATTTATCTGGTGGCACCGTGAGCATCTGGGACAGTGCTCAGCATTGCCACCCTGAAGAAAGGGGAAAGGGTCAGGGTGGGCAGGACCTGGGCCTTTGCCACGGGACCACTCTAGTTGAAGCCCAAGCCCCTCTGGCTGGCCGGGGGCAGACCACCAGTCAGGTGCCCACACCCAGCCCGTGGAGAGGCCAGGTGGGTGGGGGGGACCTGAGCCGGACGGCGTGGCGGGCACAGGGGCCAGGTGCCAGGCAGGCCCATGTTAAGGTGACCTGCATCCACCCTAGCGGCAAAGGCCCAAGGCCCTTCACAGAGCGAGGCACCAGCCCACCGAGTGGCTTGAACAGCCCAGGAGGGAATTCTAGACACAGGGCATCTGATGCAAGCTGGGTGCACTCCATTCAGCGTAAATCTTCTCAGTGGCTCTGCTTGTTTCCATGGCAACCCGACAAGTGAAATTTTCCATCTCGGATGCCAAATGCCTGTGGATGAGGCAAAGCCTCCAAGGGTTACCAAATATAGACACGGCCCAACAGGCTCTGGGGGCCAGGCCAGCAGTGGGTTCGGGTGGGAGTCTGGGCCTCCCAGGGGCTGCAGCCCTCCTGCCAGGGCGGGCTGTGCTGGGCCTCTCGGCAGAGGTGCGTCCAGGGCCTGTTCTTCCCATGGGCAGGGCCCGAGCAGTACAGCCACCAGTGTGCCCTGCCTCCCACCCACCCAGGAGGCACTGAAAAGGTCCCAGCAGGGCTGGGGTCTTCAGCAGCCCAGGCTTAAGCCCCTGCCATAGAAGAAGTGGAGGACTGCCTGAGGCCCGGGGCTAGGCCCTGTCTAGCTGTCCGGTCAATCTGCCACCTAGGACACTGTCCCCAAGCTGGGTCGGCAACTCCTCCTCCTCCTGGAGTTTCTCTCCAGGGACCTTGGTCTGGGTGAGCCCTCTGACATTTTCGATGAACTCAACCCTGGTTCTTAGAGAAGGTGTCACTACTACCTACCACCTACTCCCAGAATCCCCCAGCCTAGTGTGCTGATATGGAAATGAGAGGCCCACGGGCGAGGGGCTGTAGGGTGGACAAGGGTCAGTCTGAGGTGGGGTGACAGAGGGGTCTGATACCCAGGCAAGGGGGACCCTCAGCAGCTCCCTGCAGCACTGCTTTCTCTCCAGGCTCCTCTGGCTCTGACCGTGCTTGGCAACAGTGCCTCTGCCCCCAGCCCGGCACTCACTCGGTCTGCAGCAGCTCGGGGTTGGGCACACACTGGAGCCGGTGGGAAAGCAGCTGGAAGGCGCTGCTCTGGGGCAGCAGCATGAGCAGGCCGTAGAGGGCCTTGATCAGGTACGGGTTGTTCTTCACGTCCAGCAGCTGCAGGCGCAGATCTGCAAGAGGGCAGAGGGCAGGGGTCAGGGCCTAACACAGTCTTATACCACACCTTATCCTGGGCAGGAAAGGGCCAGCCAGGCGGCTACGGCGTAGAACAAGAGTGGAGCTCCTCAACAGCCAGGCCATCCAGTAGCGCTTAGCTGTCCTCACGATCTCATCCTTCTTTCTTCCTACCTACCTACCCGCCCGCCTGTCTGTCTGCTCAGCCTGGCAACAACCACCCTGCTCCTGGGCCTGGTCCCCTGCCCCCAGGCTCCCTGCCTCCCTAGTAACGAGGTGGGGGGGGGGGCTCAAGCTGTACTGTGGCAGCTCTCCTGTCTACTCTGCACGTGCCAGCACGAGAGCTATAAATAGGGTGAGCCGGAGGGAGATGGATTAGGACGGCTTTAAGGGAGGGCAGGACGGAAAGCACTTCTGTCTGTGGCTTAAACACACACCAAGTGCAGGAGTGTCTGGTGGGGGCTTCAGACCCACCTCAGATGCCAGCCTTGCCACCAGCCCAGCAGATAGAAGACACGCCCCTGGCCCTGCCCAGCGCCTGTCCCAACCACACAGGCCCAGCCTCCGGCCCTCTGAGCCCCTCTAGGAGAGCCAGTGGCTTCTACCTTCTTGTGTCTCTTGGCGCAGTCTGGGGACCTTCTGTGGAGGTGAGGCTCACTCCCAGAGAGGCCATGCCGCTCGGCGGCTGTGCAGGGACTGGGCTGGCACTGGGAGAGGGAGCAGCCAGGCCCAGGGGCCTGGACAAGGCAGGAACCGGGGGCCTCCCGCAGCCCCTCCCCTTGCCCTGGGGGATGTGGCAGGAGCCACCAGAGGAGACCTGAGCAGTGGCTCCGAGCCTTGTGACAACAGCAGAAACCTGGGCCTAAGGCCAAAAGCCCACTGCCAGCCCTGGGGGAAGCTGGGCCTTTGGGGCCAAGCGGCTGCCAGTGGGGTCTAGGCCACCCAGGGTTGGATGGGTGCTCAGCAGGACCAGGGTGCGGCTGCTGCGGTCGCCCCAGCTAAACCCTGGGCCTGGAGAGAAGGTGCTCGTGGCTTTTCTAGGGTAAGGTGGACCCGACTCCAGGGGAGCACAGGCCTGGCTGTGCTGGGAGGCCTGTGGGGAAGCGAGATGTCAGGTCAGGGGACCACTTGGAAGAGGCTTAGGGGTGCTCTACTGGGAGCAAGATCTTCCTCCACTCTCGTGTCAGCATGGTGCCGGGCTGTCTGGGGAAGCTGCCTTCTCTTCGGGTGGGCTGGGGCTGACCCTAACCACCCCCTGCCCGTGTGTCTGCCACTGGGCTCTAGGGTGAAGGCCGATGAGCATGGCCCAGGCAGGTCAGAAGCACCACCAGGGAGCAGGGGGCCTGGGTGGCCAGCTTGGCAGGAGAGCAGCCACCAGCAGGACCGCCTCCCAGCTTCCCCACTGCACCGAAAGCACAGGCGTTTCATTCAGTCCCTGTGTTCGAGGCGCCAAGAGCTATGCTTGTCCCACCAGCTGCCACTTCTGCACATTTAGCCTGGGTGTTACAATCAGACAGCTCCCACCCAACGGCTCCCAGCAAGTGCCAACCCTGCTCTGTAGGAGACGCGTGTGTGGCTCCCAGGCACGCGGGAGCACCTGCAGGTGGGCCAGGGCCCCCCAGTTTCCAGCAGCCAGGGCAGAGCCTGGAGGAAGGGGCTGGGACCGCTCTGGACAGCCCCCTCCTGCCCCCGGACAGCCCTGCTCCAGTTCTCCCGGCAGGGAGGACTTGGCCTTCAGGTGGGTTCTGCTGTCCACGCGAGTGTGTAAGACCCACCCCGAGGCCCACGGGCAGGCCCCACATTCTGGTGCCACATGTCCCCGCCTGCGCCATCTGGTGTCCTCAGCACGTGCTTGCAGCCCCACATTCCTGACGTTCCCGAGTGTCCCTGGGGTGGCTGCCCTCTCCTGCCCTGCCTCCTCCCTTGGAATGTGGCTTCACCCTGCTGCACCCCAGGCCGGCTGGGGGCAGCGCCCTTACATGTGAAGATGGGGCACTCGATCAGCTGCACCAGCTTGTCCACCTCTGTGAGGAAGTCCACAGTGACCTCCAGGTCCCCGCTGGGTGGGCAGTCAAGGAAAGCCTGCCCGCGGGGTCAGTACAGCCCACCTCTGTGAGGGGTCTCGGCTGGGGGTATGGGCAACTGGGGATCTGGGTGGGACTGGGGGGTCGACCCAGCAGCTCAGAGCTGCCCTCCTCCCTTGGGATCCGGTATCTGAGGCGCAGAGCCAGCTTCTGCCTTGGTTGATTCCGCAGACAAAGGGTATTCGTCTATTCTCCCCTGTGCTTTTGTGTCCCTCTCAATGAAAAGTGGCCCGGCCATCCCCCCTGCCCAGGCCCTCAGGTTCTGCTCTGGCAACGCTCTCCCCTGTGATCCTGAGCTCGGAAAAAGGCTCTTATCTCGGCCCTGCAGCCTGTGGGGGAGGGCTGGGCAGCAGAGGCCCCTGCTCCTGTCCGGGCGGGAGCCCGTCAGCTGGGCCAAGGTCAGAGCTGCGGCACACCTGCGACCTGTGGTCCCTGGGCCACACCAACGACGGAGGGCAGGCGCCCTGAGGAGCCAGGCTAGGCCAGGCTGACTCTCGAAGGAAACACCTCAGGACCCTTTCCTATTCCCCTCAACTCCGGGCCCATCAGGGAAAGAGACCAGTGTTACACCCTAAATCGCTCTCCAACCTGGGGTCCCACACCCGGCATTCACGGAGGCAGCTGGTTTGCTTTAGAGTGTTTTAAATAAAATCTGACCATGGATGCCCTCGCTGAGGCAGGCCCTGAGCTGTGCCGGGCTCGTCCCTCTTCCTGAAGCCTCCTGTCCAGCCCACTTCTCCCCACAGTGTCATCTGGCTCTACTGTCCCTGAAGGTCCCCGAGCTCCTCACCAGCAATGCCACCACTGACAATCCACTCAAGCCCACGGGCCCCCACTCCCGGCCCAGGGCCCAGCCGGACGTGCGGGGAGCAGAGTGCATTCTGCCTGTGCCCTGGGCTCCGGCACCAAGATGGAAGCCACAAGGTTTCCCCAGGGCCAGCCCCCCTCCACGAGGCCCTGGGTGGCCCTGCTTGCTGCCCGCAGCAGACACCCTCCGAGGCCCCCAAGGGGCCAGATGACACAGGCCTGGGCCAGGTGCAGGCACAGCCAAACTGCTCCCCTTGGGGGAGGGAGCTCCTGGCCCCCACCTGTCCGTCAGCGGCTGCACCTGGACTGTGAAAGCGAAGGATACAACTTCTGGATGAGGTCGTAGGCGTGCCGATAGTTCTGGGTGAGGAAGCAGAGGGACACCGTGGTGACCGGGTTGTGGCACCAAGAGCGGTACAGGCAGCAGAACAGATTCTGGCTCTCCTGGGGAAGGAGGTGTGAGCAGTTAACGGAGCCCCTGGTCCCCACCTGCTCCTTCCCCCGGGGTCCCCGGGGGTCCCCTGAGAGGGGTGGGCCCTTCTGGAGAGCCAGGAGCCAGCTCAGCACCTCCAGCCATCTGGCAGCCCGGCTGGGAACATGCTGTCACAAAGGAAATGCTGACAGTTCCTCCTCAGACCCTGTCATTACTCCCGGTCCCACAGGCCACGTGGTGGCGGTGACGCCCGGAGGGGAGTGAGCCTGTCCTTGGTGCTGGCATTTCTGCTCTCGGCAAAAACAGTTAATTGTTGTCCCAGGACCCTGCGTCCTGGAGCCTGGGGGCTGGGAGGGGGTGTGAGGGGAGGACACAGGGTGCGGGTGGGGTGGATGTTCCGCTCGCCCTGTCCTCAAAGCCGGCTCTCCTCCCGCCTCTGCGGCCTGCCCCGAACTCAGGAACCAGCCCAGGAGTTGAGCCCACATTCGGGGCAGCCCCTGCCCTGAGGAAAATCGCTAAGGCCTCTGTGAATGTCTGAGAGGAACCGCAGGGAGGAGGCAGGGGTGTGGCCTGGATCACTTGGAGCCGGGTGGCCCCAGATGCCCTCAGACCAGGCCTGATGTCCCTGGGAACAGGCAGATGCAGGGTCTGAGCTGAGCGAGGGGGTATGGGGGTGGTGGCCACAGCCCAGATGGAGGATGAAACCCCTGGAGCCACCGGCCGCCCCTGAAGACCCTCTGCCGCTCAGCCTGTCCCCAGGCTGAGCGCAACTTTGACTGTGGCACCCAGGGCAGGATGGTGGGACGGTGAGTGCCTCCCTGCTCTCTGCTCCGCCCAGGGGTCCTCAGCCAAAGCCTGACACAGGCAGTGCCTGGCTTCCGACAGGGTGCCTTTCGAGACAGCTGTGTCTGTGGGAGAGCAGAGCCAGAGCAGGGCCAGGGAGGGTGGAGAGGGCAGTAACCCCGGTCTCTGGCAGGTGACAGCCCACAGGCCTGACCCTGACAGGGCTGTAGCACCCAGAGAGCCTCACCCTGTTGGGTCCTGCCACGCAGAACCGACCCCACTGTGTGTGCCAGGGAGGGCACGTGGGCCCAGGAGCAGAGTGCAGGGCCGTCTGTGGGCGGAGACCTCCGCAGCGCTGCTCTGAGGGGCCTGGTGGAGACTCACTCCCATGGCCGTGCTGACACGGGGCAGACCCCAGGGGCACCGTACTGCACACCGCACCAGGGACATCTCCAATTTCACCCGCCTCCTCCCAAGAACGTCCTGGGGCGGCCAGGGGCTGGCACGGTGGAACGCCTGTGTGCACGCAGGACCACACCCGAGGCCAGGGCCCGTGAACACCAGTACCAGGGTCTTCAGGTCCTTGAGCTGGTTTCGCAGCTGGAACAGCTCTGTGGAGGTGAGCAGGATGGTGTTGAGGGTGTGGACCATGGTGGAGGCGAACTTGAGGTCTTCTTCTCGGAGCAGGATGTCTGCCATCGAGTGGAAGATGTTCTCCGCGTTCAGCAGGAGGCAGAGCTGTCTGGAGAGCAGGCAGAGCAAGTTACAGACACCGCTGGGCCCCCACTTCGGACCCTCGCCCTGCCCTGTCCGCACCCTGAGGAGACGTGCTTCGCCCCAGGGCCGAGTGGGCCCGTGGCGGGACGGCGGGCACCGCTCGCTGCGGGCCTGGCTCCACGTCTTCCGAACCGCTCACCATGGCCTAGCAACTCCAGAGCCCACGGGCTGCATGACCCCCCAGCTCTATCCCAGGCCGAGAACTGCGGTTCTCAGACAACCGCAGGGCCTCTGGCTGCCCGTGTGGCCCCACACTACTTTCCTGGTCTCCCCTCACATGGGACTCGGCCCCTTCCCAGCGTCACTCTCCTGGCCAGACCTTCTCTCCGTCTGACAGACTGCACACGCTGCCAGGGTCACCTGTGTGCTGTCCCTGCGCCCTTCCCCACGGGCTCCCAGGATCAGAAGCTTGTGTGTGTTCACACCATCACGCCTGCCTGCAGACCGGGCTGCAGCGAGCCAGGCTCGGGGCACGTGTGGGGGAGGGAGCCCTACGACAGCCCGAGTGTCCGCTCTGCTGTTCAGAGGACGAGGCTCTGGGCACAGGGAGGCGAAGCCACTCGACCAAGGTCATGAGACTAGTTGGCGCCACTTTTCCTCTCTACTGCCTCTTCTCTAGTGAGTCTTGGGGGGATGAGGCTTGGGTTTGCTGGAGAGGAGTCCCTATTTTATAAAAAGGAAAACAGAGAACCCAGAGAATAAAGAACAGTTTTCCCAGGGTCCCCGGGCCAAAGTGATGTCAATTAATAGTAACACCCGGGTCTCAAGGACAGGCTCAGAGGAAGCCTGTTGACCTCCCAAGTTGGCCCCTGTGCCGGGTGAGTGGGCGAGTGGCTGGTGAGGAGGGTGGGGCGGCCCCTCCCTGTCTCCCATCTCCCTGCCTGACTTACCTGGTGTGGGTGTAGGGGTTGGGCAGAGGTCCCGGAGCTTGGTGCTCCAGAACAGCTGTGCGACCCAACGCCCATGCATAATGTCTTTGCTTCACAACTGGGGGCGATGCCTGTCTGCACAATGGGGGCTACTCAGAGGACAGCTGCCAAGACTAGTGACAATGGGCGTGGGGTACACAGTGTATGGTGAATGGGACCTCTGGCTGGATAACCCATTGGTACCACGGGTGAGGGTGACAGCCAGCTCATGGGAGAAAGCCTGGCCCTCTGGCAGAGCAGAGAGAGTACCTCCTGTCCCCTCCTGCCCCCTCCCAGCCCTGGATGAGCCCTGTCTCCAGGGCCATGGGATAGAATGTCCCAGGAGGGCAGGCCGGGGAGGAAGGGAAGCGTTCTGACAAATGGTCACAAATGCCCGTCGCCTGCAGCTGCCGCCGTCTCCATGACAGAGGCCAACAGCTGAGCCTGCTGCCAGGCAGCACTCTCCAGGGACCACAGGCCAGTGGGGACGGCAGGGGAGGCCCTGGAGGGACAGGCAAAGGGGATGGCAGTGAGGAGGAGAGGGCACCAAGCGCTCCTGGTTCCCTGCTGCCTCTTCTCCTGGTGCCGTGGCAGCTCTGCTCTCTGCAGTCTGTCTCTTGGTGGTCACGTCTGGTCCGTGATTGCTTTCAAAGCTGCCTCTAGGTCAGTGGCTCCCACGTGCACCTCTGGAACCCCTCTGAGCGCTGGAGGAGAATCACTTGCCTGGTGGGCGGCCCTGCATGGCTGCCCAACGGGCGTTTCAAACTTGGCAGGGCCAGAACATAACTCTGGGCCCCCAGCTGTCCCCATGTCTGGGCGTCACTGCCCACCCAGCTGCTCCAGCCCCAAACGGGAAGTCACGCTGGCCCCCTGGGCCTCTGAGTCCACTGCTTGCTGGGCCGGGGCTCTGCCTTCAGGGCACATCCTGTCTCCTCTTGGCCCTGTCAGCAGCCCTGCCCTAGGGCAGGGCTCAGCCATCTCTTGCCTGGTCAACTCCAACGCTGGCCCCTAATCAGCCTCCTGGCCTCTTCACTCCCCTCCAGAGTTCACCCTCCATGCACCAACTGGGGTGCTCCTTAAAGTGTTCCCAGAGCACAGGACTCCCAGGGGCTCCCACCTGGACCTCAATGAAACCCAGCTCCTCACCATGGCCCCAGGACCTGCCGCTTGCCGGTCAGTTCCTCTCCGGTCTTACGATTCCTCCTTCACTCCCGCCACACTGGCCTCTTGTTCTGGTCTTCTGTTCCTGACCTCCGGCCCAGCCCGGAGAGCTGCTCGGGGACTAGCGCCTTCCCCACTGAGGTCTGGGCTCTGACCCGAGTCCCGCGTGAGTCCCTGTCCAACACACGCCCTCCTCCACCGGCCCTTTAAGGAAAGCCCTGTTTCTTTCCAAACGAATCAATTGCCGGGTCGATGGACTTGTTTACTGAGTCCTGGCTGTCTCTCCCACCAGAACCTGTCTGTGACCTTCTCGTCCCTCACACGGACAGGAAGGCCTGGCACTCAGCAATCACCATTGGGCTTTGCCCAACGGTGTGTGCGGAGGTCAGCTGTGCTCGTGCCGATCACAGGTGTCACAGACCGGCCTGCGGAGACACCTGCTCAGCGCCAGCAGCCCCTGTGCACATCCTGGGCAGGTCCCCGCGTGCCGGGTGCACCCTGGTCCGCAGAGAGCAGCTGCCCTGAGGCTGCGTCTTCACCCTAATCACCCACGGCCACGTCCTGGCTGCCCTGCTGAGGAAGAGCCGGGACACTCCCCATACAACCCTGGGCACGTAACTCCCAAGCAGAGGACCAGCTGCCCATCACACCGTTGACCAGCGGAGCAGGAAGAGAGGATCCAGGCCCAGAAGAGTCGAGATCCAGAACCTGAGCCCCTCCTCGCTGCTCTGCCTCCTCGGGGCCCATTAGGAGCGGGGGCCGGGGGCCATGCCCACCGGGTGGGGCTGGTGGACGGCCGCCGCCCAGGGCTGCTGCACCGTCGCTTCTCTGCTGAGCCCCAGCCTGGCCCGAGCTGCCTGCCTGCCTCTCGAGCATAGCACCCATAATGGAACACAGCTTGTCGGCATTAACCATTTGCCCATATTTTCAATACCCACATTGAAGTGCTATTCACCACAAGACAATGGCTGAGAAAACGCCTGGGGAAAAGGCAGAGGGTGGGCTGCGCAGGGCCGGTCCTGGCACACCCACTGGGGCTGGTGTTGGGCAGGGGCCCACGTGTGTGCGCCCGACCCCTGACCCTCACACCGGAGTCCCATTCGCCAAGCGTCCTGCTACTGCTCTGACCGCTGCCCCCTCCTTCTGGGCCTGGGTTCACGCCGGGAAGGAGCCGTCCTCTTTCATGCCCCTGTCACACACCAGGGGCTCTCGGGGGAGTGGCCTGTCTTCAGACTGCCTGAGGCCCCTGGGACCCAAGAGAGCGACCACCCACTTTCCCTAATGGCTTGAAATTTTGCTGCTTTCTTCAGGGCAGCCTCAAAGGGTAAGGCCTATGCTGGGCCTGGGGACAGTGACCACCTGGAGGTGGCCACACTGCACTTGCCAGGATGATGTGAGCTCACGTCACTGCTCCTTCGAACACTAACACTGGCCAAGCGTCCACTGTGCCGCTGACTACGGCCCTGGTGGCCACCAGCCTCAGTGCTGGCCCCTGGGGACAGGTGCTCCCCCGAGCTCCTACCAGGCCCCCACCCACAGCCTCTGCTTTAGGTGACATGTGGCCCAGAGTGCGGGGGAGGACAACCGATTCCAGACTGGCCAGTCATGCCCCAAGGCGTGTGGCCTAGACTGGGCAGCCTAGACCAGGTTGCAGGGAGCCTGGTGCTCTCCTCCACCCTGTCCTGGGGGTGGGGAAGGAGCCACACAATGCTTCTCCAGGGACCCAGGCAGGCCACCCCCTCGGGCGAGGTCAAACCTCGGGTTGGAGGACAGGCTCTGCCCAGAGGCTCTGAGCCCCGCAGCCAGGCTGAGTGTGGACAGGAGCCGGGGCTGGACGCTGCTGTCCAAGGGCACAAGGTGGGTGGGTGGGGGGCTGCTTCTGCCGCCAGCTGCCTGTCCCCACCTGGCCAGCCCCGCCGTCACAGGTTCATCCTGTGGGCCCAGGCAGGGCAGGAGGGAACAGTTCAGCACGGTGGGGGGCGAGAGGGGCGTGTGAGCAGTCCCTTTCGGGACAGACACAACTTGGGTGCCTTCGGAAAGGCACGGAGGCGGGGGAGAAGGGCTGGGGCAGCAGGGGCCCCCAGCATGGTACCCCCTCGGGGAGGAAGCGTTCTGTGCCCCTGCCGTGTGGGCTCTGGGGAGTCTGGACTCTGTCACGTGGTTTCAGGGAAGATGCAAGACTTCCTTCCGTGACCCCACTTCCCTGCATCCTCTGAAAACAGGACCAGTGAGGTTACTGTGGCCAGAAACAGCCTTCCGCACCCTCACCGTCAGCAGACCCTCCGCAGGTCCCTGGGCCATTTTTGAGATGCCAGCGCTGGCCTTCTGGACTCTTCTCTGGCTCCACCACCAGGTAAGGGCATGTGGACACCCCGCCTCTTCTGACACTGAGCCCCGAGCCGAGGCCGGCTGGGGGATCAGGCTGCTGCCCTCCGCTTCCCCGCTCCCCTCCTCCTCGGGCTGGCCTTCCAGGCAGACAAGGGCGGAGGAAGACGGTACTGACCCACAGCAGAGATGCCTGGGGTGAGCGCTCGGTGCGGAGGGCCCAGGGGTGCCCCCACCCCAGTGGCCCTCAGAGCCCCACAGCGAGTTGGCCCAAGGCCACTGGACAGGGGTGTGGGAAGGGCAGCACTGACTCTGGAGAAGTGGAGATGGAGGCTGGAACAGTCGTTTCCTCCCAGGCCTCTCCCCTCTCAACAGTGCCAAGCAATAATCTGACCACATCAGTGGGGGGCCCCCGGCACAGGGCACAGAAGGGCTGACCTGGTGGGGAGAGACGCTGGACTCCAGCCCATCTGAGAGGAAAGAGATGCCAATGTTGAGATGGGTGTGAAGGCTGGGGTGCCCCCTCCCACCCCGACCTTTCCCAGTTGCTATTCGTGCAGTCCAGTCCCGC